CGGCCCTCGCCGCACCGCGCGACTCCCTGCACCACGCTGTCCCGCCTCACGCCGCCCCGCACCAAGCCGCAAAGCACCGCTTCACAACGCCCCGCACTACGCCGCACCACACCGTACCACGCAGCACCGCTAAAAGGAGGTGGTCCCGCCGTGTGATGATTTGTGTCCGTAGCCATAGAAGAATGTTAGTCAAATTGTAATGAATATGATAAGTAGAGCTGGTTTGGCTCCCCATGTAAACTTTGATACAGTCTGTAGGGGGCGCTAATGGGCCAATTTCCAATATTTCACTTTAACCTGACCTAAACCCTAGAATTGAACAATGGATTAAAGTTTTGTGCAAATCAGACTTTGTTTGTGCAAACAGGAGCAAAATTAATGTTGTCAAAAAGAGCCAAAAAAACCCTCACATTTTGCCGCTCCGCTGCTCAAACAACGTTTCACGGATCAAAATTCCCTGAAGTCATTTTGAAGGTACATGTGTTGAGATGATGTGGAGCGATTTTGAGGCGAATCGGTGAAACGGCCGAACGGCTGGTTTGATGTTTGTGTGAGGTGTACATTTGCAATGAATGGGGAGCGTTTGTCGTCGCCAAGGCAACAGGGTAAAAAATAAGCCTTGGACCCTATTGACTTTATGAATCAAGAGGGCAAAACAGATTTTTGTGCAAAATTTCAAACATTTTGAAAAAACTAAATTTGAAAATGCCAATCTAAAATTTTGAAATAGTCTGTAGGGGTTATATAGGGGTTATATTGTGTCAATTTGAATCATTTGACTTTCAAATGACCTAGACCCTAGAGTTGAACAATGTATTAAAGTTTTGTGCTATACAGAGTTTGTTTGTGCAAACGGGAGCAAATTTTATGTTGTCAAAAACGGCCAAAAAAGGTCACATTTTGCCGCTCCGCTGCTCAAACAATGTTTCACTAATCAAAAATCCCTGAGGTCATTTTGAAGGTACATGTGTTGAGATGATGTGGAGCGATTTTGAGGCGAATCGGTGAAACGGCCGAGGAGGAGTCGCTTTCCAACAAACATGTATGAAAACTTTTGCTGTTCATTTTGCCATTTTGCAGTGAAATTTCTGGGCTTCCTGTTTGTCAGGGGGTGGAGCCATAATAATATTTTTTTTCTTGTCTTGACTATAGGAACATGTGTACCGAATTTCATGGCTCTACGACAAACTTGATCTCTAAAAGTCCCATAGGGGTATTATTTTGGCTGCTGTAGGTGGCGCTGTTCCGGCATTTTTTGAGTCCCATTAAAATAAACACCAAAATATCAAATTTTTCGCCAGGTCTGATATTTGGGCAAAATTTAACAACTTTTCATGCATGTTCAGGGGGTCAAATTAAGGCTCAAAGTGCAGAATTTGACATCTCTCGAGCAAAAACAATAGGCCCTTTCCCCGTTCGGGGCTCGGGCCTAATAATAACCCCCATGGGATTTTTCGGAGGTCAAGTTTGTCGTAGAGCCATGAAATTCGGTACACATGTTCCTCAAGTCAAGACATGAAAAAAATGTTATTATGGCCCCGCCCTCTGACATACAGGAAGCCCATAAATTTCACTGCAAAATGGAAAAATGAACAGCAATCATTTTCATACATGTCGGTTGGAAAGCGACTCCTCCTCGGCCGTTTCACCGATTCGCCTCAAAATCGCTCCACATCATCTCAACACATGTACCTTGAAAATGACTTCGGCGATTTTTCATCAGTGAAACGTTGTTCGAACAGGGGAGCTGCAAATTGTGACCTTTTTTTGGCCGTTTTGGACAATATTAAATTTGCTCCCGTTTGCACATACAAAGTCTGATTTGCACAAAACTTTAATACATTGTTTAACTCTAGGGTCTAGGTCAATTAAAAGTGAAATAAAAGAACTTGGCTCATTAGTGCCCCTACAGATGGAGTCAAAGTTTTCAGAGTTTTTCATACTAAAAACTCTGAAATAGTCTGTAGGGGGCGTTAATGAGCCAAGTTCAATTATTTCACTTTCAAATGACCTAGACCCTAGAGTTGAACCATGGATTCAAGTTTTGTGCAAATCGGAATTTGTATGTGTAAACGGGAGCAAATAGAAGGTTGTGAAAAACGGCCAATAAACACTCACATTTTGCCGCTCCGCTGCTCAAACAACGTTTCACTGATCAAAAATCCCTGAGGTCATTTTGATGGTACATGTGTTTAGACAATGTGGAGTGATATGGAGGCCAATCGGTGAAACGGCCGAGGAGGAGTCGCTTTCCAACCGACATGTATGAAAACTTTTGCTGTTCATTTTTCCATTTTGCAGTGAAATTTATGGGCCTCCTGTTTGTCAGAGGGCGGAGCCATGATAACATTTCGGTCGTATCTTGACTTGAGGAACATGTGTACCGAATTTCATGGCTCTACGACAAACTTGACCTCTGAAACTCCCATTGGCTGTTGTAGGTGGCGCTGTTCTGGCATTTTTTGAGTCCCATAAAAATAAACACCAAAATATCAAATTTTTCACCAGGTCTGATGTTTGGTCAAAATTTTACAACTTTTCATGCATGTTCAGGGGGTGAAATAAAGGCTCAAAGTGCAGAATTTGACATCTCTCGAGCAAAAACAATAGGCCCTTTCCCCGTTCGGGGCTCGGGCCTAATAATAACCCCCATGGGATTTTTCGGAGGTCAAGTTTGTCGTAGAGCCATGAAATTCGGTACACATGTTCCTCAAGTCAAGACATGAAAAAAATGTTATTATGGCCCCGCCCTCTGACATACAGGAAGCCCATAAATTTCACTGCAAAATGGAAAAATGAACAGCAATCATTTTCATACATGTCGGTTGGAAAGCGACTCCTCCTCGGCCGTTTCACCGATTCGCCTCAAAATCGCTCCACATCATCTCAACACATGTACCTTGAAAATGACTTCGGCGATTTTTCATCAGTGAAACGTTGTTCGAACAGGGGAGCTGCAAATTGTGACCTTTTTTGGCCGTTTTGGACAATATTAAATTTGCTCCCGTTTGCACATACAAAGTCTGATTTGCACAAAACTTTAATACATTGTTTAACTCTAGGGTCTAGGTCAATTAAAAGTGAAATAAAAGAACTTGGCTCATTAGTGCCCCTACAGATGGAGTCAAAGTTTTCAGAGTTTTTCATACTAAAAACTCTGAAATAGTCTGTAGGGGGCGTTAATGAGCCAAGTTCAATTATTTCACTTTCAAATGACCTAGACCCTAGAGTTGAACCATGGATTCAAGTTTTGTGCAAATCGGAATTTGTATGTGTAAACGGGAGCAAATAGAAGGTTGTGAAAAACGGCCAATAAACACTCACATTTTGCCGCTCCGCTGCTCAAACAACGTTTCACTGATCAAAAATCCCTGAGGTCATTTTGATGGTACATGTGTTTAGACAATGTGGAGTGATATGGAGGCCAATCGGTGAAACGGCCGAGGAGGAGTCGCTTTCCAACCGACATGTATGAAAACTTTTGCTGTTCATTTTTCCATTTTGCAGTGAAATTTATGGGCCTCCTGTTTGTCAGAGGGCGGAGCCATGATAACATTTCGGTCGTATCTTGACTTGAGGAACATGTGTACCGAATTTCATGGCTCTACGACAAACTTGACCTCTGAAACTCCCATTGGCTGTTGTAGGTGGCGCTGTTCTGGCATTTTTTGAGTCCCATAAAAATAAACACCAAAATATCAAATTTTTCACCAGGTCTGATGTTTGGTCAAAATTTTACAACTTTTCATGCATGTTCAGGGGGTGAAATAAAGGCTCAAAGTGCAGAATTTGACATCTCTCGAGCAAAAACAATAGGCCCTTTCCCCGTTCGGGGCTCGGGCCTAATAATAACCCCCATGGGATTTTTCGGAGGTCAAGTTTGTCGTAGAGCCATGAAATTCGGTACACATGTTCCTCAAGTCAAGACATGAAAAAAATGTTATTATGGCCCCGCCCTCTGACATACAGGAAGCCCATAAATTTCACTGCAAAATGGAAAAATGAACAGCAATCATTTTCATACATGTCGGTTGGAAAGCGACTCCTCCTCGGCCGTTTCACCGATTCGCCTCAAAATCGCTCCACATCATCTCAACACATGTACCTTGAAAATGACTTCGGCGATTTTTCATCAGTGAAACGTTGTTCGAACAGGGGAGCTGCAAATTGTGACCTTTTTTTGGCCGTTTTGGACAATATTAAATTTGCTCCCGTTTGCACATACAAAGTCTGATTTGCACAAAACTTTAATACATTGTTTAACTCTAGGGTCTAGGTCAATTAAAAGTGAAATAAAAGAACTTGGCTCATTAGTGCCCCTACAGATGGAGTCAAAGTTTTCAGAGTTTTTCATACTAAAAACTCTGAAATAGTCTGTAGGGGGCGTTAATGAGCCAAGTTCAATTATTTCACTTTCAAATGACCTAGACCCTAGAGTTGAACCATGGATTCAAGTTTTGTGCAAATCGGAATTTGTATGTGTAAACGGGAGCAAATAGAAGGTTGTGAAAAACGGCCAATAAACACTCACATTTTGCCGCTCCGCTGCTCAAACAACGTTTCACTGATCAAAAATCCCTGAGGTCATTTTGATGGTACATGTGTTTAGACAATGTGGAGTGATATGGAGGCCAATCGGTGAAACGGCCGAGGAGGAGTCGCTTTCCAACCGACATGTATGAAAACTTTTGCTGTTCATTTTTCCATTTTGCAGTGAAATTTATGGGCCTCCTGTTTGTCAGAGGGCGGAGCCATGATAACATTTCGGTCGTATCTTGACTTGAGGAACATGTGTACCGAATTTCATGGCTCTACGACAAACTTGACCTCTGAAACTCCCATTGGCTGTTGTAGGTGGCGCTGTTCTGGCATTTTTTGAGTCCCATAAAAATAAACACCAAAATATCAAATTTTTCACCAGGTCTGATGTTTGGTCAAAATTTTACAACTTTTCATGCATGTTCAGGGGGTGAAATTAAGGCTCAAAGTGCAGAATTTGACATCTCTCGAGCAAAAACAATAGGCCCTTTCCCCGTTCGGGGCTCGGGCCTAAAAAAGGAATTTTTTTTTTAACGTCTCGAGCAAAAACAATATAGGTTTCAATGGCATGTGATACATCATTTTAAAGCGTTTGAGTTTACGCACGCAACTGTCACGTTTTGGTGAGTGACGGGCGCTGACGCGTCCGTCACGCACCGCCACCATTTGTTTTCACCATTGTGAAAGCAATAGGCCCTTACCCCGTTCGGGGCTCGGGCCTAATAAATAAAAAAGGAATTTTTTTTTTAACGTCTCGAGCAAAAACAATATAGGTTTCAATGGCATGTGATACATCATTTTAAAGCGTTTGAGTTTACGCACGCAACCGCCACATTTTGGTGAGTGACGGGCGCTGACGCGTCCGTCACGCACCGCCACCATTTGTTTTCACCATTGTGAAAGCAATAGGCCCTTACCCCGTTCGGGGCTCGGGCCTAATAAATAAAAAAGGAATTTTTTTGTTAACGTCTCGAGCAAAAACAATATAGGTTTCAATGGCATGTGATACATCATTTTAAAGCTTTTGAGTTTACGCACGCAACTGTCACATTTTGGTGAGTGACGGGCGCTGACGCGTCCGTCACGCACCGCCACCATTTGTTTTCACCATTGTGAAAGCAATAGGCCCTTACCCCGTTCGGGGCTCGGGCCTAATAAATAAAAAAGGAATTTTTTTTTTAACGTCTCGAGCAAAAACAATATAGGTTTCAATGGCACCTGATACATCATTTTAAAGCTTTTGAGTTTACGCACGCATCCGTCACGTTTTGGTGAGTGACGGGCGCTGACGCGTCCGTCACGCACCGCCACCATTTGTTTTCACCATTGTGAAAGCAATAGGCCCTCACCCCGTTCGGGGCTCGGGCCTAATAAATAAAAAAGGAATTTTTTTGTTAACGTCTCGAGCAAAAACAATATAGGTTTCAATGGCACACGTGATGCATCATTTTAAAGCTTTTGAGTTTACGCACGCAACCGTCACATTTTGGTGAGTGACGGGCGCTGACGCGTCCGTCACGCACCGCCACCATTTGTTTTCACCATTGTGAAAGCAATAGGCCCTTACCCCGTTCGGGGCTCGGGCCTAATAATTCTGATTCTGATAAATGCCACGCACACAAACACACCTGCAGCACTGGCATATGTTTACCAATATATTATTTTTTATATATAACAAAAACCTATATTGTATTAATGTATATTATCCTACAACAAAAGTAAGTTACTCTCTTGAGACCGTGACTTAATCGTGTAACTTATATTTTAGCCATAACTAACTTCCCCGCTGCGTCTTTGAACCAAACACTTACTCGGAGCGTCCAGTAGAGGCGCTGTCTGCACTAATGTGTTTCCATCATGGCCGCCTCCTTGTTCGCTTGCTAACTGTGATGCTAGCGATCTGTACGGATAGAAACACTTGTACAACACACTCGGCGGTGGTTTTATTTGCACATTGCAGAGACATTCTCCGTGATGTGGTTACGTCTTCAAAGCGTGTGTTTGAGAAAGCTGACAGTGCGTCCAGGTTACGTGTCTGGTGTGTTTGACGCGCGGCTGAGGAGAAGTGTCAGTCACTCAGCCTCAAGAGCAGCCACCTGCAAAGCTCTGCAGTACAACAAGCACGGAGAGCCGGCCCAAGTCATCCAGTAAGACACACACACACACTGATGCAAAGACACACACACACACACACACCGACTCAGGAAGACACACACACTGATGCAAAGACACACACACACACACACACACTGATGCAAAGACACGCACACACACACTGATGCAAAGACACACACACACACACACTGATGCAAAGACACACACACACACACACACACACACGCACTGATGCAAAGACACACACACAGACACTGATGCAAAGACACACACACACACTGATGCAAAGACACACACACACACACTGATGCAAAGACACACACACACACACACACTGATGCAAAGACACACACACTGATGCAAAGACACACACACACACACACCGACTCAGGAAGACACACACACTGATGCAAAGACACACACACACACACACACACTGATGCAAAGACACACACACTGATGCAAAGACACACACACACTCTGATGCAAAGACACACACACTGATGCAAAGACACACACACACACACACACACACACTGATGCAAAGACACACACACTGATGCAAAGACACACACACACACACAACAAGCACGGAGAGCCGGCCCAAGTCATCCAGTAAGACACACACACACACACGCACTGATGCAAAGCACACACACTGATGCAAAGACACACCCACACACACACACACACACTGATGCAAAGACACACCCACACACACACACACACACTGATGCAAAGACACACACACACACACACACACACACACTGATGCAAAGACACACACACTGATGCAAAGACACACACACACACACACCGACTCAGGAAGACACACACACTGATGCAAAGACACACACACACACACACTGATGCAAAGACACACACACTGATGCAAAGACACACACACACTCTGATGCAAAGACACACACACTGATGCAAAGACACGCACACACACACTGATGCAAAGACACGCACACACACACTGATGCAAAGACACACACACACACACTGATGCAAAGACACACACACACACACACACTCTGATGCAAAGACACACACACACCGACCCAGGAAGACACACACACTGATGCAAAGACACACACACACCCACACGCACTGACCCAGGAAGACACACACACACACACACTGACCCAGGAAGACACACACACTGATGCAAAGACACGCACACACACCGACCCACGAAGACACACACACTGATGCAAAGACTCACACACACACCGACCCAGGAAGACACACACACACCGACCCAGGAAGACACACACACACCGACCCAGGAAGACACACACACACACACCGACCCAGGAAGACACACACACTGATGCAAAGACACACACACACTGATCCAGTACGACACAATTAAACTAGTAAAGGTAATAATGCATCTGTTGAATACAGCACTTTGGTCCTTATTCATTCACTCTAAACTAGTGTAGCCACAGCTGCCCTGGGGCACTCTGACAGATGCAAGGCAACCAGAATGGACCTCCGACCACCACCAACCATTCGCTCACACACCAGACCCATTCCAGATGGGTGGTGTCTTGCTTGAGGGCACAACTACAGTTTTGGCCCTTTACAGCCGCAGCCGCCCCACTGTGGCCCCTGCACTGTGGCCCCTGGTATTCCCAGAGGTCAGTAACACACTATCAAGCAAAACTCTAACCACACCGATCTGCCTGTTTAGGTACAACTGGATTGTGCATAATCCTAAGACTCAATAAAGAAGTGTCCCTCATGATGCGTCAAAACGATCATTCTGAACCGGACCAGTTTAAACAAATATAATATGGTCCAGAAGTGTTCAAAAACATTGTATATATTAATGTTTAATCTCTATCAGTCTATGGTTCCTGCTTTATTACCCTATTTATGAAGTCTCCAAATCTAATTTCCAGTGACATTTAAAAGCCCTAAAACCAAAATGTGGTCATTCTACAGTCTGATAATATAAGATGAGATAAGAATTGCTTTATTCGTCCCACAGTGGGGAAATTTTGATGTTGCATCGCACATATAGGACAGTAGTAAGAGCACACACAATATATACACTATATACAAATAAGTAGTAGATACGTTCCAATTCCAGCTGTACCCTCCTATTTGTTTACGTTGGAGTTTGATCTTTCTGCTGAAAGTGTTCCTACTTATAATTTGAGTAAATTAGTCATCAGAGGAAAAAGCTACAGGGCCTCAGCTTCACAAAAGGGCTCTAATGTGAAGCTGAGCCGATGGATCCTAAACAGATTCAGCTGTTTAGGAGCGCCTGTGACTGTAGAGTAACTCACATACTGGTTTCCCCGCTTCTGTCTGTGTGCCCCAGGGCAGCTGTAGCTACAGCAGTAGTTTAAACCATTGTGTACTGAGTGAAGTGAGTGAAAACTATGCATTTCACATGATTTTGACCAGGAAGATGAGATTGGACTATTTCCACTGGTTGAAAAACACTGCTCTACATACAGGACAGTGATGCATGATTCAAATGATTTCCTCTCCTCACATTTTCCAGCTTGGTGGATGTCGACTATGGACCCGTCGGTGCGAAGGAAGTCCTTGTAAAGATTCTAGCGGCCCCCGTCAATCCCTCTGATGTGAACATGATCCAGGGCACATACGCCATCCTCCCTGACCTGCCAGCGACCGGAGGAAACGAGGGGGTCGGCGAGGTCTCTGAGGTGGGCTGCGGAGTGACGTCTTTGAAGCCTGGGGACTGGGTTATCCCTAAAGACGCAGGTTTAGGTAAAATCTGTCGGATATACCATTTTTGATGAGTGGTTGATCTGGCAACCCTGTTATAGATAATAAATAATATATAACTTATACTAAAACGTTTGGGCGGCACAGTTGTTAGCATCTGGCTTCTCAGCAAGAAAGGCCTGAGTAGCCTTCCTGAGTGGAGTTTAATGTTCTGTTCGTGTCTACGTAGGTTATCTCCAGGTACTCCAGCTTCTCTTGAATCTGCATGAACAAAAGATTTAAATGCATTTGTCCCGACTTAAGCCTAGGGTACCTAACTTTTTCCCCATAATGAATGCATGTGGTTTGTTTTAACTGTAGAATGTAAATATTAACATACGTAGTAACAGACTTATTCAAATGTGTCCCCTCCGATTAAGGGCCTCGTCTACGTAGGTTTTCTCCAGGTCCTCCGGTTTCCCTCATCACAAAAAAAACAAAAACATGTACAATAGTGAAGTCTGGGATTGTGTCTTTAATTCAGACAGAAGAAATGTTTTATTGTTGATGGTAGACACACGAGCACGAACGTCACAGGATGCAAGTGTATTATACAGCATGGAGGAATTAAGTCCTCCAATCAGCAGCTTCCAGGGTGCCAGTGTCTTCAACCTTGAGATAACCAAAACATCCAGTAGAAAAGTACTGGCTTCTGCATATGTTAGAATGAGTTAGAACTTTAATCACAGTTGCTTCAAAGTGTTATGAAATACACCACAATAGTCAAAAGTATCCGGATCTGGTTGTCGTGGAGATGGGTCCTAGGGCACTGTACTGTCTGTGTGCTCCTGACATAGAGCAGTCCCTTTCTTGTCGAGTTGAACTGCCACAGACGTCATTTCACTGACGTAGGCCGATGTACGTCATCGGCCTACGTCAGTGAAATGACGCCTGTGGCTATCTTGACAGCTGTTAGCTTAAGTTAGCTCTAAGTTGTAAGCTAACAGCTGTCAAGTTAGCCACAGGACGCGTCATCGACGTAGGTCAGTGAAATGACGTCTTCGGCAGTTCACCTCAATAAGAAAGGGACTGCTCTCACACCATAGTAGTGATTGACAGGAGCAGTTACTTAAACCAAACTTTACACAAACCTTTTACCCACAAATCGTAATTAATGTCCGCCATCTTGTTCTGAAAGTTTATAACAACTCGACAAGCGGCACAAACGGACAGAACACTGGTCTTCCAATGGGTTGGTGCTCCTGTAGGTTGGGACTAAAACCTGCAGCCACACCTGCCCTTTCTGGAACCGGTTTGTAGAACCGGTTTCTAGAAGCAACATCCGCTTCTTCACGTTGACACGTTAAGACGCCGACAGTTGGCTCACACCTCTGCAGCAAAAACAGAGAGTATTTACTTTGTCCACATGTTTCATCTCTGGTCCGTTACGCCGTGCTTACGGAGTGTTGGAGGTTGAACACCCAGCAGCCTGACGAGCTAAACTTTTGGCGGAACGCAAACGATATTCCTCCATTTTGTTGGCCCGTTGTGCAGCCGATTTCAGGAGCAAAGATTTATCTATTTAAAAATATTTTTGCTCTTTGCCCTTAATCTCCTGCTGCAAAATCCTAATTTGAGCTTTCTTTTGCTCAAATTGGTGCCGCACCCGATGTTGATGTTCGTGTATCGCCGATTTCAAAAGATCATCCTTTTCCATTTGAAAGTCCTTTTGCCTACGCTCAATGCTCTGTTTCACGAGTTTATCCCGGGTTTGCCTTCTTTCTTGCTCTTGTTGTTTTTTGAGCACCGCTCTCCTGATTTCATAACCGGACGATTTCAGGAGCAAATCTTTTTCCATTTGAACATACTTTTTCTCGCACTCCATGTTCTCGCGTCTCTGCTCCTAAACTGATTCCTGAACGTTGTAAGGTTCTGCTTTTAGTCCATCCTCAGAACTTACCTCTGGACTCTGCAGCAAGTTCACCTCTGTTTCCTGCTGCATCCAGCTGTTTTCTGCCGGCCTATTCTCAACGGGATGTTCTGCTTCTATACCATACTGAGAACTATTCTCTGGTCTCTGCAGCAAGTTCATTTCTGTTTCCTGGCTGCTTTGTGCCGGTCCATTTGTAATGAAACGCTCCCATCTATCGCGAAAGTCTGAATATTGCTTATTCAAGAGATAATTCCTGGCCTTCTGGAACTTGAGCTCCTTCTGCATAAGTTTTTCCCTTTTGTACCAGGCGTCCTTCTGAAGCCAAAGACCCTTTCGCACCTCCAAGTGAAGCAACCTCTCACAGAAGTGCTCTTGGAGCTCATTTAGATCTGGACAGTCTCCTGCCTCCAAAGTTTCCTGAGTGGACACAAGCAACTCATCCCCTCGCTGCATTAGAAAACGATCTTTCTCGAGCCAAACTGCCTCAGCCTCTTTCCAGGGCAGTTCTGTCCTACTATCATCAGCGTCATTGGACTCCTGCTGCAGCTGCCAGGATGTCTCTGATGCTGTATGCTGTCTCTCAGCCTCTCTCCATTTCTCTAGCAAAGCAATAACGCGGGTTATGTTGCTCTGGCTAGCCATGCTTCTGTTAGCCATGGCACTGCGATCCTCCATGGTTCCAGTAAAGTCCTCTTGAGGTTCCTGAAGGGTCTAGGGTTAGTCTTTCCTAATGTTTCTATAACCTTTGATGCAACACTGAAATTTCCCCACTGAATAAAGAATCTCCTAATCTTAATACCTTCTTACCTCCATACTTACTTCCCTAGGTCCAAAGCAAGGCGTCCAAATCAAAGCGTCCCAAAAGAAAGTCCTTGCTCAAACCTCACAGTCATGACACATAAGCCTATTTTGGAGAATTCTATTCTGACGTCACAAAGGTATCCATATCAACCATGCCTACTGACCTATCTAGAATATAGGATTCTATATTCTATGGGGTATCCATAGCAACCGAATCCATGGTAACCGTAGATGAAAATGTCACTTCCTGTGTTATGTGGTGTAACCTTGGTAACAACAGTACGCACTAAGCAAGTGCACCTACTTAAAGACCTTATGCAGGGTTTGTATCAATATTGAAATTAAGTTTTAATACCATTTTATATTAGAAGAGAACTACTCAAGGTTTCAAAATCTTTTTTTTTTTTTGTCTGATCCCCCCCAAATTGAGAAAGGACCATAGCTTCGTCCTTAGAAACAGGAAAAAAAATCATACCAGCGCTTCAGTGAGGTCACGGCGGGGACCGGTGTGATGCTGTACATATCCACCATACTATCGCTCTTGTTTGCATTTTGTTTGTCTATTTTTTGCACTAAATTGGTGGATATTTAAGAAGACAAGAAGATGTGTTGCAACGCACTGCTCCCAGACACACAATAGGCTTCGGACCAAAGGAGAAGAGGAGGCATTGGAAGGAAGAGGAAAGGGGAAGAAGGCTACATGTGTTAGAGACGAGGATAGATTCATAGGATGGACTTGATCGCAGCCTCGGTGAGAACGGCCAACGAACTTCAACAAGTTGCAGAACTACGGGACCCTCTGTGAGCGGCGCTAAGACTGAGACGTTCCAGTGAGCGGCGCTAAGACTGAGACGTTCCAGTGAGCGGCGCTAAGACTGAGACGTTCCAGTGAGCGGCGCTAAGACTGAGACGTTCCAGTGAGCGGCGCTAAGACTGAGACGTTCCAGTGAGCGGCGCTAGGACTGAGACGTTCCAGTGAGCGGCGCTAGGACTGAGACGTTCCAGTGAGCGGCGCTAAGACTGAGACGTTCCAGTGAGCGGCGCTAGGACTGAGACGTTCCAGTGAGCGGCGCTAAGACTGAGACGTTCCAGTGAGCGGCGCTAAGACTGAGACGTTCCAGTGAGCGGCGCTAGGACTGAGACGTTCCAGTGAGCGGCGCTAAGACTGAGACGTTCCAGTGAGCGGCGCTAGGACTGAGACGTTCCAGTGAGCGGCGCTAGGACTGAGACGTTCCAGTGAGCGGCGCTAAGACTGAGACGTTCCAGTGAGCGGCGCTAAGACTGAGACGTTCCAGTGAGCGGAGCTAAGACTGAGACGTTCCAGTGAGCGGCGCTAAGACTGAGACGTTCCAGTGAGCGGCGCTAGGACTGAGACGTTCCAGTGAGCGGCGCTAGGACTGAGACGTTCCAGTGAGCGGCGCTAAGACTGAGACGTTCCAGTGAGCGGCGCTAAGACTGAGACGTTCCAGTGAGCGGAGCTAAGACTGAGACGTTCCAGTGAGCGGCGCTAAGACTGAGACGTTACTGTGAGCGGCGCTAGGACTGAGACGTTCCAGTGAGCGGCGCTAGGACTGAGACGTTCCAGTGAGCGGCGCTAAGACTGAGACGTTCCAGTGAGCGGCGCTAGGACTGAGACGTTCCAGTGAGCGGAGCTAAGACTGAGACGTTCCAGTGAGCGGAGCTAAGACTGAGACGTTCCAGTGAGCGGAGCTAAGACTGAGACGTTCCAGTGAACACTTTCTAATGTGTTACTTGTGGATAGATAAGTAAATTGAAACGAGTCATTTCTAAAGGTCCTCACGTGTTTATTATACAAGTATTTGAGTTTGAAAACAGCGTTTGTTTTGGGCCCTTGTGTTAAAGGTGACATGAGGAAATCTCCGTTAGCCTGGCCTTGGTCAATTCTTATTTCATTTCAATTTCAATTAAACTTTATTATAGACTCTAGGTCCAATTTAAAACATGCAGACAGAGAAGACAAAAGAAAATAACAAACTAACAGTTATGAGTTTAAAAGACGGCCGTACCAGTGTCTCCATATCTTGGACTGCACTCGAGTGGCACTGAACCTGATGTTTGTCAGCGATAAAATTAATACATTTTATGATTTGTTCAGAAAAACAGAAAAAAAACAGGCAACTTGTGTCCTATCAATCAATCAATCAATCAATCTTTATTTATAGGGCGCTTTTCCTGCACAGGGCAACACAAAGCGCCTCACAGTCCACACCACACAATGCACAAATCATCACCATTAAAATACAATTAAAAACACATATGTAATTAAAAAGCATTAAAATCACACAAGTAATTTAAAAACATAAGAATCACACAAGTAATTAAAAACAATAAAATAGTTAAACACAAAAAGTTACAACAATAAATAACAAGGTGTGTTAAAAAGATACAATTCTTTAGTTGTATGCACAGGAAAAAAGAAAAGTCTTTAACGTGGATTTGAACGTCGTCCTATGAGTTCTTTCAATAAAGTTCCATAAAAGGTTTGTTTGGTGGAATTGTTTCAATATTCGGGGTAAGTTATTTGTAAATCCAGGTTATAGAGAATCCAGTTTTATCTCAAGAACAAACAAATAGAGGTCGATCTTCTACCATGAGGTGGGGGCTCTCAGCTCGAGGAGGGGTAAAGGGAGGGGTGAAAAACCCTGACCGCTGAGTGAAGGAGGGATGTCCTAGTGCGAGACAAAGCAGCGGTGATTCAGCTGAGTTTATGGCAGCAGCTCCGTGGCAGAAGCAAACAGTAGCAGCAGCGTATAGTATAGTAGCGGTAGCGGATAGCAGCAGGAGCAATCACAATAGTAGTAGTAGTAGTAGTAGTAGTAGTAATCTTTATTGATATACCGCCTTTTCACTGCAGATCTGAGTCTCAAAGCGGTTTACAATTGTTAATTTTGGGCATTTGTCTCTCACTCCACACAGAGATGGGAGCGGGGTCAGTACAGGAGGCGCATGCCAGAACTATTGGACATATTTTTAGTGGTAGGGGAAACCGGAGTACCCGGAGGAAACCTACGCAGACACGGGGAGAACATGCAAACTCCACTCAGAAAGGCCCTGGTCCGACCGGGATTCGAACCCAGGACCTTCTTGCTGAGAGGCGAGAGTGCTATCCACTCAGCCACCGTGCCGCATTTACGGGCAATAGTGAGTGCAACACCATGAGAGGGGGGGGGGGGGAACGGGGGCCTGCACCAGGTTAAAACATCACGTCCGGTGGCTGCGTGGATCACGTCACATTACGTGGGTTACACGACAAATGAAACTGTACATTAGGCTCCTCAACACAGCCTGTAAAGTGTTCACTCGTGAGGTGACAAACAGCTCAGATGCACTGGTCCATCGTGGCTTTCCCATAAGCACTTGAAAAGCGTCATTATAAGCCATCAGCAGCTTGTGTATACTGGCTCTTTTACAGTTAGTCCACAGGTGGGCCATGTACAGCGGTGTACAGTATGATTTAAACACTTGCACTTTGACATCAGTTGAGCAGAAGCTGAATTTACGCATGAGAATGTTGGCCTGCGCATACCGCATCCTGCACTGTCTGTAAAAGTCACTGTCATCAGAATCAGAATCAATTTATTGCCATTTGCAGAAAAAACTACATTAGAATACAAACAGGAGACACCGGGGGCACCAACACCACAAAGCACACACAGACAAAAACAATAAAAATAGTGAGACGGTGAGGCAAATATAAAACTCTTAAAAGCATACTGAAAAGCTACGAAGAGCTACAAAGAGAAGCAGATCTCAGGACGCTCTGTTCAGTCTTATAACCGCCTGAGCCGAGGGAAGAAGCTATCTGCATGGCGGGTGGTCCTGCACCGCTGGGACCGGTTTCTTCTCCGCGAGGGAAGAGGCTGGAACAAGGCCGCTCCAGGATGGCCAGAGGAGTCATTTACAGTTCAAGAGTCTTCTCTCATACAGAGCCTCCAGAACGGGCATCTTACGGTTCACAGTCCTCCGAGTAGAACAAACTACTTTGTTCAGAGCTCTCTTTTCTTTGGCTGTGATGCTGCCGAACCACACAGTAATCGCACCAGCAAGCAGGCTTTCTATGGTGCAGCGGTAAAAGTTCAGCAAAATCTTAGTTATTTGTAAATTCCCTAAATTTCTGTTTTTCGCAGAAAGTATAGACGTTAGCTAGCTTTCTTAACTGTATGGTTGGTGTTTTTGTCCCATCTCAAATTGTTGGACAAAGTTAGACCAAAGAACTTACAATCCTCAACAATCTCCACCTGAGAGTTATCAATGACCACAGGTGAGTGGGAGAGAGAGTGACCACGACTAAAGTCAAACACCAGTTCACATGTTTTGGACTTGAGGAGGTTGTTGTCTTTACTCCAGTTGACAACATTCTCAACCTCTGCTCTGTATGAAGATTCGTCGTTCTCGCTGATGAGACCGATAATGGTGGTGTCGTCTGCATATTTAATGATCAAATTTGAGTCAGAAGAAGCAACACAGTCATGGGTGTACAATGTGAAAAGCAGAGGACTCAGAATACAGCCCTGAGGAGATCCAGTGCTTACAAACGCTACATCTGAGAGACGGCCACCGATTCTAACTCTCTGAGATCTGCCGGTGAGAAAGCTGTAAATCCATTTACACATGGCTTCGCACAGCCCGAGGGATCTGAGCGTTTCAACCAGTTTACCTGGGACTAGAGCTATTTTCAATGAACAGCATTCTGGCCAGAGATTTTGCAGTGTCCAAATGACTGTACACAGAGTTCAGTGAAAAAGGAATCGCGTCTTCAACACTCCTGTTTTCTTTGTACACAAACTGGAGCAGATCGGTACCGGATCCTGACATAGGCCCTAGTGGCGCTCCAGGGTGGGTCAAATGCAGAGGACACATTCCCCTATGGTGACAGTAAAGTACAGTTTAACTTCACTTGTGACAGTCTTATACAAATCTGAACTCATATTGTTCAGAAACATCTAACAAACGTCTAACAAAAACAAAATCAAAGCGTATGGTAAATAAAACAAAATTATACATTCATTATAAATTCATTGTATAATATAGAAATAATGGATAGCTTTGTGTTTCTTAATTTCAGCCCCTGAGAAATACACAATTAGTGCATTTATAGCCATTTGCAGCTGGCTTATTTTCTTAGATTTTCCCACCCCAAAGACATCCTAATTATTCATTATGATGTGTTTTAGAACCCTCCTGTCACAACTTAAAGGGATTAGAGCGTGTCTGTGGAGTTAATTACCCACTGTTTTCTGACAATAAAACTAAAATTAGAAAGCCCAGTAGGTGATCCAATTGTAACAGTAAAACCAGGGTGAATAACCTCTCTGCTCTGGGACGTCATTTTGCTCAAATTATGTAGAAATGGAAATAACTGAAACAAGTGAAAGTGTAATTGAATGATTTGTAAATTGTGTTTTTTAGGGACAGTCAGGTACAACAGTTAAAGAGCGACTAAACACCAAATCAACTTTTTTCAACTCATAAACTGCATAAGTATGTTTATTGTAGTGCTGTCTACATATCCTGGTCATTTTTTTGACATTTTAGTTCAAATTAGATAAAATATAACTTTTGAGCCAAAAAATGCCTGTGTGGCGCCCTCTCAACCTTTTTGGTGGTACTACATTTGAATTTGGTTCTGGCCTCTCCATCGACTCTGAAGTTCTCTATGACATCAGTTGTTTTGTGTGACGTCAGTCTGTCAGAGCCAGTGAGGTGAACCCATTCAACTCTCACACACGCCCCAGCTGCAGTTTGGAGTATTCTGGCGCCATCTAGTGGATTAAAATTAAATTACATGAGTCATTCTGAGATTATTGAGTGTGATTAGGTTCAGGTGTGTAGCTTTACAATTATCTTAGTGTGTAAACAAGGGTGGAATGAAACTTTCTGGTCCGTAAACTATTGTTTTAAGCAGCAATGACAACTGTCTGTTTTTTTTAGTGAGACAAGTGAGCTGTCAATCACAGCCCAGACCACGCCCAGCTATAAGCCCCCCTTATTGTCCCTTGGTCCTCCAGAAGAAAATTTTCAAATGTTCATGTGGGCGGAGTAAGGCTGGGCACAGGTGTTTAGTCGCTCTTTAAATAGTAAAAGGCAAATGTACTGAAAAGTGATTTGGTTCTCCTATAACTCTTTTCCACTACAATGTTCTGTTGAATCTGCATGAAAAAATAATATCAATGCATTTGTCCAAACTTAAACCTATGGTACCTAACTTTTTCCCCATAATTAATGCATTTTGTTTGTTTTAACCATAGACTGTAAATAATAATGGACGTAGTCACGCCTATCTCCGCCGTAGAAACTAATGTGCCATCACTTTTTCCTTCAGTGGGCTTTTTCAAAATGTCCCCTCCCACAGGAAAATGTGAGAAAACGCATTTGCCGGCAAGAGCCCCATTCATTCAAAAGTCCACAGCGGCTAAACTAGACTGGTCCAAAAAAACTCCCCTCATCATCGACAGCATCTGCTTTGGGCCAAGAGCGACTTTTGGACCATCCTGTAAAGAGTTTTTCGAGATGAAAGAAGACGCCATAAAAAAGCATTGGATAATTCTCTTTCCGGGTACACCCCCACCGGCAAGGAGTGAGATTGCAAACATGTTAGCGCACGGATTCATGGATCCGCCCGCACTGGTTTTAACAGAAAAACTCTTATAAAAAGTAACATTTTGTGCTGGCGTCTTCTACATCTAAAATAAACAACTATATTCAAGTCAAGTATATACCACTAAATACAAAATATATATGTGTGTTTGTCTTCTTGGAGGAGGTCTGAGGCGTCCGTTAGTTGACCATAGTGGGTGTGTGGTTGTGTCCAGGTACTTGGAGAACAGCTGCTGTGTTTTCTGAGGATGATGTCGTCTCACTCCCCAACGACCTCCCCCTATTGGCTGCGGCCACTTTGGGAGTAAACCCCTGCACAGCCTACAGGATGCTGGCTGATTTTGAAGACCTGAAGCCTGGTTAGCATTCCTCTTTAGTGCAAATTCAATGCCATGTATTTTTTGTATAGCCCTAAATCACAACAGAGGGCAATTTACAGAGAGCCTTAATTCAAATTAGAACGCAAGAAATGATAATAAACACAACATGGTCCATTGGTCCGCAGTGAACAGGATGACCTATGTCCGTAAATGTCCGACATCATAAAAGTTCCTTGTTTTCCATCAGCAGTAGTAGCAGAAGTTAGTGCAAGGGCTTTGAGGTAGAGCTAGACTGATGAATAATCCGGGAAGAAATTGTGCTATTTAGAAAATCATCTTACTGTTGAAACTGTGTAAAATGTTACAATTGCTGTCAATATTAAATATACTTCTTTAGGAATTAAACCTCTGCCTTGTTTTCGATGAATACTTAGGCTTACTACGCTACTGTATAGTGTTGGTCATTTATGGTGGTACTTGGAGAGGCAAGTATTTTCTGAGGTGGTTCTTGGTGTGAAAAGTTTGAGAACCACTGCACTAGACCACCTTTTTATAGTTTTATTGTGTGTCCCGGGCCAGCTTACAGTATCTGATGTATCATTCTCACCCTGTTTCCTATGTACTTTGTCTTCAGGAGATACAGTTATACAAAATGCAGCTAACAGCGGAGTGGGACAGGCCGTGATACAGATTGCTGCTGCTCGAGGAATTAGCACTATTAACGTAATCCGAGACAGGTACATTTTTATTTTATTTTTACATCAGTTATCAGGAGTTCTGTAACAAGCTTGTTATGTCCACATGCATTTATGGCTGTAGTAAAAGTCCTCATTGTGCTCTGTTAAAAAGGCCAGAGTTCACTCAGCTCAGTGATAGACTGAAGGCTATTGGAGCGACTCGTGTGATCAAAGAAGAGGCGCTGAGAAAGCCTGATATGAAGGAGCTTTTTAAAGTGTGTGAGTTTATGGTCTGACTGATAAACATGAAATATTCAACATAATAACATCATAGCCACATGTTTTATAGACTTGTCCGAGGCCTAAACTGGCTCTAAATGGTGTTGGTGGCAAGAGTGCAACAGAATTGCTTCGGCATCTACAGTAAGTCAGTAGTTTTTAGTTGTAAAAAGGCAGATGTATTATTGTATTTAGTTTTTAGTCAAGGTTGATGGTTTCATATGGTCCTTCTCACTCCAGGGTTGGAGGATCTATGGTAACGTATGGAGGGATGGCCAAGCAACCAGTTACAATTCCTGTGGTATGCAAAAATATAAACAAACAAATACACTTGTGTCAATATAATTATTCCATGATTTTGTTTTTGTTTTTTGCAGAGTGCTCTTATTTTCAAGGATGTGAAGGTTCGAGGATTCTGGGTCACACAATGGAAGAGGAATCAGTCTCATGGTCGGTAAACCTTGAGTCGTAAACTAACATTGGTGACTTTATATTAACTTTGCACATATCTGTTGTAGACGGCCGAGCCTTCAGGAGCATGATCGATGATTTATGTTCCCTCATCAAGCAGAAGAAGCTGGCTGCTCCGGCTTGCAACGAGGTGCATTTTGAGGAATACATCAAGGCTTTGAATGCTGCAATGCAACCGTTCACGTCTTCTAAGAATGTTCTTATAATGTAATCTGTCTGTAAATTACTGTTTTCTTAAATATATGACCTTGTGTCCAATCATTCTCAAAATCCCATATTACAATAACATGCAGAAACATTTTTTTTTCATTTTCAGTACAAAAAAATCAGAAATACACTTTTACAAATATGCGTTCAGAACGAGGCAGAGGAAAACTGACAGAAAAGGTAGAAATCCTCCACACGTGAAAACAGCTGCTTCCTTTTCCAGACAGTGCTCGTAGCGGCTGAAGTCCACTTCTCTGGCGGCACAAACGTGGTCCACACGACAGTCTTTATCGCACGCCGTTAGATCATAGCTCACAGAGTTATACTCGTAATACTTCTGAAGGTAGCAGTCGTCCTGTGCCATTCGTTCCAGGACTTTATTCATGGAAAGTGGGGAAGCGTCTGGTACTCTAAAGCTTTCTGTGAGGCGGTACTCCTTCTCCCAGCGTTCTTGGACTTGGTTTGAAAAGGTCAAATTCATGTAATATGTCACTATATCCTGTTCCATACAGAAAAACAATATCGATGAAGGTGCTCTACCATTGGCTTTGACTTGCTAATAATAGAAATGTAAATGTGCTCACTTTAACCACCAGTGTTTGGGTGTCGTATTCAAAGAGGCGTATTCCCGGGTTGTTGGCTCCGTCGGACACTCCGGGCAGAGTGGTTTTCCATGGTGTAACGCCTGGAGTGAGGAATATTGTGCTGATGGGAGAACCTGGAACAGGAATTTAAAAGTGATTCAATTTACTTGAAAACCTCCGTTGGACGTTTTAGGATTACCATCAGAGCTGTACATCATTCTGAAACTGTCTGTGTGATGGTGCCCAAAGAATTGTCCGAGAACGACCGCGTGATGCTTTTGAATCAGTTTCACGTAAGCCTTGTTGAACTCTGCAGTGAACCATGGCTTACTTCTTTTCTTTTCAAAAAAGCCTGGTGGAATATGGCCAATAATATAAACCTGGGAATAAATTAAAACATGTATTTGAATTGTTTTCATTTTGTTGGATACAGGACACAGAATAAATACCTTTTCTTTGTTATTTGCTGCTTCTGTTAAAATGCGATCAGCCCAAGTAAACTGACCAGCTGGGTCTTCAATGCCCTCTGTCGCCTTGTTCTGGTCGTAATACAGATTGGTATTAAGCACAATCATTCTGTAGCCTGTCCGATTGAGAAGGTTTTCTGTATAGAATCCACCTGTGTCAAAACATAAGCATTTATATGTCATTATATACTTCACAGCTTTATAAATCATTTGAAGAAATTACCATGTCTAAAGGTTTCCTGGGACTCCAGCTGCAACCAGGGCTTCCATAATTCAGTGGTCACGTTATAAATGTTGTGGAAAGAAGCAGGAAGTTGATTTTTTGGGTGAAAGTCATGGTTTCCCAAAGCTGAGTAAACTTTAGTATCTATGGAGGAATACTATGTTTAAGGCATGTTTGTTTAGTGATGTGTGAAAATGGCCAAATGTTTACCTGGGAAGAGTTCATTTATGGCGTGGCTGAGGTTATTTATAATTTCCAGGACTCCTTCTTCTCCTAATTGTTCATTAGGTACATGAGGTGTGTCATCACTGAACAAAATATAAATAAATGGCATATTGTGAAAGTTACTTTTAAGTAAAATAAACTGGTAAGAGTTCTGGTGTGTACTATCTGCTCTTTCTGGCGCACACTGGGGTATTCTTGCTGAGTTATTACTATGTGCTTTTACTGCAAATGGCAAATAAACTAAATCTGAACCTAAATGCATTTTATAAAGCATGTATATGTGGATTTACTCTCAAAGGTGCGTATCATTTCTATGTGTGTAAATAAACAACAATAAATAAATACAAATTAAAAGGTAAAGGGACATGGCTTACCCGGTCCATATTATAAAGTCTGGGTCTGGTGAAATAGCTTTCATTGCAGATAAAGAAGAGAGAATCAGCTCCCAAGGCGAGTCACAAACATAATCTCCGTATGTCCCTGCATTGCTGGCTGGACGGTTTCCACTGGACGCACAGACTTGTCCAGGATCGTTGCCCAGTTTATACGTCGGGTCCCAGTGCAGGTCAGTGATGTGCCAAAACCTTCCTAGTGACATGCGCACTTGCCATTACGCATATCAAACCCTGACAGTCTAAAAATAAAGACGCATCAATATTTGTTTACTTACCTGAAAGTCCAAAGCTAAATTCAAATAGCCCGAAGACCATGAGGACCTTGAGAGCTGACATGCCTGAAGGAAGTGAGGATGACTTTCAGTAAACCAGGACTCTGCAACTATAACCGTAATGACCAACCATCTTTGGTGATAAGGAATGATAAGGCTCTGCGTGGCCGTGTGTGACGTGCTGCTGCAATGGATTCGAAGTGATATGTAATAATGTGATATTTTTAACACCCGTGATATAATTATGGTCCAATGTTATGCTTGCACTTTTAGACTTCGTGGTAGACAGGTAAAACACAGGTGACATGTGCATGACAAAGTACTTCATTAACGGACCGAACTAACCACATTGGAATACATTTGCAAAAGTCCCCAATGTGCACCAGACGTACTTGTCTGGTGCACAAAAATAAAACAAGGTAAGAAGTACTGATTTTTGGTCTATCTAACAAAGATTTGTAATATAATTATAATTATGGGTAATACATATACATATGAGTCATATGACAAAACGGAATTCCATCCCTATTACTAAAAAAATGAATCAAAAGGTATAGAAGAGAAATGTCTCAAATTATTTGTTGTTTTGACTTGCCTTTACTGAATGCATACTGTTTGTGTTCATTTTTGTTATACAACTTTTGAACTGACTTTTGTGAACTGTTTGTAACATAATAATATAACATTTTGACGGTCCCTGAATGCTGCAAACATTGCAACGTTTAAACCCTGAACTTTGTTATTTGCCACGGGATGTGACGTACATTTATGTAGTATAGCACTTGTTTCTTATTATAGGTATAAAAATACCTATAAAACATTATTTCTGTATTATAAAAACATGATTACTCCTTTTCTTGGCTGTGTTCGTGTCTCTTCCTCATCAACTTTAAACGGGGAGGAAATGCTCTCACTTCAGTTACGCGGGACATAGACTCAGGCGCATGCGCAGTTGGCAGAGTTTGGCGCGCGGGACTTATTTGTTCACTTCTGTGCAGTTGTCCAGTGAAGTCTGAGTGGGACTCCCAACATATTTGATCCCGTCGCAACAATTTGATCTTCTAACATATTCAGCAAGATGTGGAACCAGGGTGAGTGTGCTCAGACACTGCCGTCATTTGTTTTGTTGACAGTGTTTATTCAGTGACTTGTGAGCTAGCATTAGCTCATGTGTTCACCTGTTGTGTTTTTGGGATTGTAAAAAAACGTGATTTTCAAAAGTTGACTCTTTGTAAAAATGCATGTTTTAGGAGGATACTCAGACAACACCATGGGTGGCGGGTACACTCAATCTCCAGGCGGCTTTGCATCGCCCTCCATGTCCCAGGGAGGAGAAAAGAAAGGGGTAAGTCCCGAACGTCAGTAATATAATGCAAATTCAGTTCTGCAATCGTTGTGCTATAAATTATGGAAAGTATCGATGTCATTTTCTTTAACTCTATTACGTACTCTTATGTATTCATATTGTCTACATTCATATATATATATATATATATATTATATATATATATATATATTTTATACAAGAGTAGTAGAATACTTGCTATTAATGTTTTCACAGTAATATCCCTCTGCAGTGTATGTGTATAGGGAAGTCTGGGCGTCTCAGAAAATAGATGGAAATGGATCCCTCTGTTGCTCATAGCACTGCGTTGCAATTTAACAGTAGTTCAAATTTGTTATTGTAGATTTAGCCCCAACTTAAAAATAATGGTGACATATGTTTTCTTGCAGAGGACTCGTGCCACACAGATCATCCCATGCACTGTGTCTCAGCTCATGTCCGCTTCTCAAGCAGACGAATCCTTCAAAGTCGGGGATGTCGACGTAGCACAGGTCTGCTCAAATTCTAATACCATTATTTTTAATCAAACAATAACGGTCTTTCTTTATTTGTTTTATGATATGTTTGTCTAAAGATATCGCTCTCTGAGATGCAGGACATCTCGTTACGCTAACAGTTTTTATCCACAGGCTGTTATCAGTGTGAACAGAGCACTTTAATGATTTGCACTTGTTTTGAAACTGTTTTAGTCGATCCATTTCACAGTGACATTTGTTTACTGTTTTATTTGTTGTATTTCTGTCTTTTAATGTTGTTTTATGGCTGTATTTGTCTGTGCACACTGGAGACTTTTTGCTAATGTATTCCAATGTGGTTTTTTTACTGCAAATGGCAAATAAATAAACTGAACTGAACTTGTATTTGCAGGTTACCATTGTGGGCATCATTAGAAGCACCGATAAGTCCATGACAAACATCCAGTATAAAGTGGACGATACGACGAGTGCGCCTATGGATGTGAAGCAGTGGGTGGACACAGAGGTCAGTGGTCAGAGTGTACAGTACAAACTGTGAATGTATGTTATTATGATTCTAGATGTATTTCTGGAATTGACTTCACCCCCATGCTGTGATGCAATGGAGTAACACACAGCCACCTCCCTTTTGTCACCTCATATCTCACATTTAATAATAGACATGTTTAGAAATGTTGCGGAGGCAGCCAAAGCTCTTTCTTACCTTTTTCTGATCACAAAGTATTTATAACTACTATCTCAACATCATATTCCCACATCCACCTCACTGGTTCCTAACTTAATAGTTTTAAACTATCTTTATATCAATGTTACTAAAATATGCATCACATGTTAAAAGATTGTTTGTCTCCTGGACCCATCTGTAATATTTGTTTGGTCATTGTCTATTTGTCTAAGAAAAAGTGTAAGAATATAAACTATTGAAACATTAATACTCTGCTCTTGTGTAGGATCCTGGTGTGGACGGTACAGTTTTGCCACCGGGAACATACGTCAAAGTCTCTGGAAATCTGCGCTCATTTCAGGTTTGTATATTTACTTTCCACACCATCCGGCTGTATTTTTGTGACATTGTGAGTGTGTTTTTGATCGCAGAACCACCGATCCATCGTAGCGTTCAGTTTGCGGCCCCTGGAGGACATGAATGAGATCACGTCACACATGCTGGAGGTGGTCCATGCTCACATGGCGCTCGCCAAACCCCAATCCATGGTTGGTTTCTTGTATTGATCTTAGACTTTGCTCTTGATGTCAATTCATGAATAACAGTCAGAACACATTGACCTAAATGTAACTGCAATGCATTTGGTGTCCGCTGACAGCCTTTTCTGCTTCTTTCAGCCGAGCGCAGGGGGAATGAACAGCAGCATGGCACCTATGTCTCGAACAAACATGGGAACTATGGGATCTACAGGGCCCGTGGGAGGCGGATATCCAGGAGCTACTAACATGGTTAACAATGGTTTGAGTGCAAGTCAGAATCAGGTGAGATTATGTTTTATAACCAAAAAATTAAGTGTTTTCTCCAGATGTCTTTCCATTTTTTAAAATCACAATCTTATACAGAACTATAACGTATGAATGTAAATATACATTAATTTATCTGAATCCTTTATTTATCTTAAAATGTATTATAAAATCAGATCTTTTAGACGAGTGGTGTCAAATCGATCCGCGATGGTTGTTGTGGTTGTTGTGGCTGCAGGTTTGCAGGTTTTCATTCCCAACCCGACAGTAGCTCACCAGACTTCACCCATTTCCTAAAGTGAGTCCAGTCTTAACCCGAAGACTTGAGGGCTCCTGCTTGGTTTGAAGTAAAACCTGCAGCCACGCTGTCCCTTTTTTAGACTGAGAGCAAATTTAGAACTGTTTAGTTATTACTGTTTTTTTCTTTATTCTAAAATGCATTGAATTATTTTCCCGTTTTTCAGGTATTAAGTTTGATAAGAAGCTGCTCTGATGCACAGGGCATCAGCATTCAGGACATCAAGCAGCGGCTCAGCGGCATCAGCATCAATATTATAAAGTAAGTAACACTCCAGTGCACGATGATGTAATGCTACAAATGTGACCACGATCATCTTTGTTTGGCAAAACATTTGAAATGTGTGTATACAATTTTGTTTTATTAATAAAATGCTATCTCAAAGGCAGTAAAAAGCTTGTAATTTATTTAAATGCCATCCAGACTGATTCAATGAATAACTTTATGTATATTAATATTTTTGTTTGTTTCAATGTTTTCAGGCAAGCAGTAGAATTCCTGAGCAACGAGGGGCACATTTTTTCTACTATTGATGAAGACCACTACAAATCGACAGACAATGATGAATAAGGACTTCTCTGTTTTAAAGTTAATGTGTCACTTGAACTTAAAATAACTTGTACATCCTGTATTCGCTACAGATTTTAATTGTTTCCCCAAAAGTTGTAAAGCATTTACTGTTCTTTGAACACACAGCAGTTATTCATTTTACCACAAGGATTACTAGTTAATATTACACATAATAAAAGTACAAATCTGTTTGTTGTACTTTTAAACAAAATGTTGTCAATAAAAGTACATTCTGTTCATATTTTGTTTTATTATAGTATTTTACATTATATTAAACCAAAGGTTTTCACATAATTGTGTTGCCACATGAACCTGCGTGACAGCCGAGGATTTCTTCAGTTTGGTGGGTTACATTTATAAGAGAACATTTTCTTGAGCGTTCCTGATGAATGTAGATAACTCGTCCATGGACTCATACTCGTGGTCACTGTCTTCAGCGGTTTTCTGCACTGCAGAGGAGAGATCAGACATGACGGGGTGATCATTAGAAAGACTCAAACGTGTTGGATATTTAAACTAGTGTAGAGGGAGATGGGATGTTGGCTTGAGTTGGTAGTTTTCTTCTGTCTTGCTTTAACACAAAAATGCACAATGCCACCGTATCCTGCTCTGTTTGAGCCGTGTCTAGGTCATACCACAAATTGATTCTGCCGTTAGACGTATGAAGATTAAATAAAACGCAGTTTACAAAGCGAGGAAAATGACCAATCCGATCTTTTAAACATAGATTTTAATCCTGCACTTTTAGAATAATTTCAGCACAGATCTGACTGTCTCATCCCTACACAATTGTTATGTCTTAAAGGTTATGGAAAAATTACATTAATGTACTATGTTTATCAGCTCTGTAGCTGAGTAGTCTTCTAGAACTCTCTGGACCTTCAATAACAGGCTTGTTATGTTTCCTTAAGTTTAGGGCAAAACAATGCATTTTACCTGTTTTAATAGATCCTTGTATTTTAACATAAGTATTTGGCAGTGCTTTCCCCGTCGCTGTGGTTGTTGAGGGCTTTCGTGGGACGCTTGGGGGAAGCTGGTCTTCTCGCGTTTCCTGCAAAGTTATAAGAAATCAACAATACTTTGAAATTCTTAATTAGAAACAAACACAGAACCGAAAAAGGGAAGTAGACAATAGCTGTGCGCTTACAGTACGATGATTAACACTTACTGGTGGAGATGGAGGCGGTGGCGGTCTCCTTTTGCAACTTAAAGACAAATCAGTGAATTCTGCAGATGGGACAGTTTCTGCTTTCACTTTTGATTTCTTTTTAGACTTTTTGATGGATTTGGAAGACGATACATTCCTCTTTGGTGGCCGTGGTGGTGCGCTTGCATCTGTTGTGGTCTGTTTCCAAAATTCATAAAGAAACTCATCTGTCACCTCTGTCACTGTCTCTACATGACATTTTGGAGGTTGATCCATTGGCCATGGCAGACAGTCTTGAGTAAAGCATACAGACATTGATAGCCATTTGGTTGGAATATCAAAACACTGACTGGGACTATTGAGAAAGCTCGCCTGGATCACCGGCTCTATCAAGGCAGCCTCTATTCTGAGATTGGAACTCGCAAGTGGGTCATTTTGAAGCTCAGAATCTTTTGTCACCACTTTAACATCCAGTGGTATGCTAAACTCCTTTCCCAAGTCCTTCAATTTGTACTTTTTATTATCGGACAGCACTTCCACGAAATGAGCTTGCATATACAGCGGCAAATATATCTCATCTCTCTCCACTTCTTCCTCATCGTCATCAGTTTGTCGATAGCACAGAAGAGCCTCGACTGTTTCTGGCTGTTTGTAATCTCTTACACTTGGGAGCTCCATTCGTTCAGTGCGGACTATCTCAAGCTGTTCCGCCACTCCCAAGGCAGGGATTCCGTCTTCCTCCACCTCCTCACAGTTCCTGGTCACAGTGACTTTAAACCCTGATGTGTTAACAGAAGCAGCGTATATCTCATAGACGGAACTAAACTCTCGTGGTCGTCTTTTGAATCGGCCGCCGTATTGTTGGGACACCAAGAAGTACTGCGGTGTCTTCTTGCTCTTGAGGTTGGATATCAAGACAAAAGCAGAAGTCCCTTTCTTGTGAAAAATGACCTTGTTGTATGTTTTAAGCTCCGGTTTCCAGTTGCACTTGAACATGGTGTGGCTACCAGGGCCTTCCAGGATTTCCAGTACCGCAGGAAAGTTCTTGTCAGGTTGGGAGAGGATCTCGCTCAGACTGAGTGGAATCACAAAATCGGCGTTGCAAGTATCTGTTACGTCAACCACATCTACCTCAAGACTGGATGGAAACTGCAGCACATGTTTTCTTACTGCGGGGAGAACAAAGAAAGTTTCAATAACCAGAAGGCACCAAAATATCTATAGTTCTATGCTTCGTTTAGCTTGCAACCCTCAAAGCTCTCTGCACTAAAAAGGGGCATGTACTTTGCTTCACTTGTTTTTAAAGGGTATGAATAGTTGATATTGTGTGTTGTTCACAAATGACACATTTTCTACTACACGGTACATTCTAAAACATCTTCAACCCTCTCAAGATGTTGATGCTCGGCCTGGTCTGGACTACCAAGGCTGGAGGATTTGGCCTGGTCTGGACTACCAAGGCTGGAGGATTTGGCCTGTGGCATTATAGAGCACTAAAATGGTTACAATGTGTGACCTAATGTTCGTAATGACCAAATAAACTACCGTTACTACTGCTGCTACAACTGCTACTACTGCTACTACTACTGATACTACTACTAATGCTACTACAGCTACTACTGCTACTACTACTGCTACTACTACTACTGCTACTACAGCTACTACTACTGCTGCCATTACTACTGCTGCTGCTACTACTGCTGCTACCACTACTACTGCTACTACTACTACTGCTGCCACTACTACTACTGCTACTACAACTGCTGCTACTACTACTACTGCTACTACTACTGCTGCCACTACTGCTGCCACTACTACTACTGCTACTACGACTACTACTGCTATTACTACTGCTGCCACTACAACTACTACTGCTGCTACTACTGCTACTACTACTACTGCTAGTACTGCTACTATTACTACTATTACTACTGCTACTATACTTTGTCTCTCACTCCACTCAGTAAGGGGAAACCCAAGCACCCTGAAAAAATCTACGCAAAAAAGGGGAAGAACATGCAAACGCAAAGACCTTCCAACTATATTTTGAATATATAAAAATGTTTTTTTTTTTGAGAAGCGTGAGTGCTGATCCACAGTATGGTAAAGTTTTATTGTATATAAAAAAAAAAAAAACTATTGTTCATGTATTGTGTGCTCCTCATTCCTACTGCTCTTTAAAGGTGATGCAACACTGAAATTTCCTTACAGTAACAAATAATGGATCTGTCTGAGACCTTACTTACAGCTCATCATGGCGTGGACCTGGTACACAGGACTGAACAGAAATGCCTCTTGGCCCTTGGTTGCGTTGGCGAAGCGAAACCTCCGGCTCCGTAGGCTTGGCGAACTCATGATCTCGCTCAGAGAAAAGGACTCGGCACTCTCACACTCGTAGAACTGCCCCGTGGTGGACACAGGGATACACATGTCCGCTAAAGTGTCCTGTTGTCCATGAACGGAGCAACGAATGTGCTCACTCCCATCGTCCAACTTATCCAGGCTCTTCACGGTGAATTTTGTCCCAGGACTCAGTGTTAAGTCACAGATGGTTATCTTTGTGTGGCTGGTGAAGGCAAATGGAAGACTGGACTCCAAACCTATGGGCCTCAGCTTCATCATCTCGTCCACTGTGCTGTATGGCATTTGCTCTGGGATCACCTTGAACAAACCTGAGAAAAGAATGAGCGAGCGATCAGATATTTACGAAAGCGTTTTATTGTGGTGATCATTGATACCGACCTGTGTGCTGTATCGGAAGCTCGAACCTGTCACTGTTGCTTACGTTTTCACAACTGACTGATAGAAGCTCTATGGAGATGATCTTTACGAGATCTCCCGTTGAAAAGCACACTTCACTTCCAGAAAGTTCATATACGGAACCTAGGAGGCCAGAAGGTTTATCTAAGTTAGAGTGAAATCCACATTTTGTTATACTTTTTTATTGTTTTTGCTTCTTCAAAATGTAAACTGTAAACATATCTTATAAAGTAATGGATACAAATACGTACACAGGGGAGAGAGATTAAAACAAAACTACTTACCTTGGAAGTAGACCCCAGAGCACACTTTTAGTATTTTGGGCAAACAACTCTCGTCTAAAGAAGCACAATATTCCTGGAGCGGCAGCATGATCTCTGCCATTGTGGCGTCTGCTGCTGCTGCTACTGCTGCTGCTACTGCTGCTGCTACTGCTGCTGCTGCTGCTGCTGCTGCTGCTGCTGCTGTTGCAGAGACACAAGTGACGGATGCAGCTACAGACAAAAGCAGCACCTCATTCAAAACCACAACTTTGAATGAGGAAGCCAACCACCTCAGTTTGCACTTTGAGTGCAAAAACTGTGAGAATGTGTCCAAGAAAATGTGGAAGTTTCCTGTTTTATTTGACTAGAAAATATCCAAATACATCTGTCGCACTGAAGAGCTGTAGTTCAAAGGAAAGGCTTATAATTCTCACTTTACTCAGTGGTTTTGTGAAAATCCAGATCTATTGTAGTGCCACGCTAATAAAGTTTCACGCCATCTGTAGCAGATCTCTCCAAATGTGTTGTCGATAATGAAACATGTACAAGAGGAATATGACTTTTTGATCCATTTCCAAAACAGAGAAATAGAAATGATGTTAATTAATCATTTAGTTAATACGATGTTCCCTTCTCATAACCATAATTATCAGTATTCCCAAAATACAAATAATTACACACACTGTAACAAATTTCTGTAAAATTACAATGAAACTTCAACATTAAACAAATGTTATTTTGAAAAACAATTCAAACATGCAAATTTAAGTATAAATTGGTTAAAAAACCTCCAGTGGTATTTTATTACTACAATTATAATGTGATTACAATAAAACATTACAATACCATAAAATCCCATTGTGATTTTATGGTATTATTACCGTAATTTAACATAAAGTTGTATATTTGGAATGCTGGGAATTTTTTGCTAACGAGCAACCATGAGTGTAAAAGGTACGTCTCACATGTAAACTCCTGCTTTTGTTAAAATGGTGTTTTTGCATTAAGCATGTTATAGAAGTGAAGATTTCTACTACTTTCTTGAATAAACTGAAGATGTTAAAAAATAATTGAAAAGTTGTGTTCTTTAAAGTAAAACAAATTAATCTGCGTAGTCTTTTGATCAATGAAACTAACTAGAAACAGAAAAGGTCAAAGTGTGTAATAATACAGCATTAACATTATAAAGCTGTTATTGTTGTAGTGAATGAACAGGAACATACAGTTAAATCCTGAAATCACAAAGTCATAATGTGATTCAGTGAAACAGTCTTTAACCGTTAAAATTAGCAACAGTAATGCCATGTTGAGAAAACGGTAAATTCGTGGAACAATATTTGCCAGCTATTTACCGTTTTTCTACAAGAAAATTCTTTACAGTGCACACAAGAGCACGTTAAACAGTGAACTTTGACTGTTTGACTGCACCAAAGTACATCACAGTGAATGTACAGACTTTTAGTGGGTCAAAAATAATAATGAAGCTTTATTTATTTATTTTATAACCACCAATGTTTACATGTTCTATTTTTTATTTCAGAATTTAAAGGGACATCTTTATAATAATAATAATAATAACAACGATGATAATAATAATAATTTGTCATTGTGGATGTGTAATTTTATGAATATAGTTTTTGTCCTTTGTCCTACACAGCACTATGAGACAGACATTGATGGACAGTCAGTAAGTGTGTTTTCATGTTTTACGAGAGTTTAATTTAGGATGTGGAACTTTGTGACTTTGTTTCTTTTCATGAGGATTTGCACAACTCTAAAGAAAGACTTCAGTTCAGTTCAGATTTACTATTCTTGTAGAGCTCAAAATAAAGTAAAAAAGCGAACTTATTATGCAACATACCCTTTTGTTGCATATTAAAATAAAATAACATAATTGTCCAGAAATATGACTATTGACACTTACCAGAAAGGATTTAGACTCGTAGAACCACAGACAGTGGCTCAGTTGGTAGATCATTGGCCTTTGCCCTGAAGGTTGTGGATTTGAGCTCACCATGAGACCTACTTCATGACTCCCACTGATGACTGCTGTCGTTGTGTCCTTGGGCAAGACACTTTACCCCACTTTGCCTGAAGCCCCCGCTGCAAGATCTCAAATCTTGTGGGCTCACCACCTGCAGGAGGACCAGTGAGGGGCTGGTGCTCTGTGTACTGGGTGCACCTCTGACTGCCACCCCCCCGACCAAAACATGGATTAAGGGGAAGAAAATGGATGTATGGATGGAACCCCCACTGTCCTCCAGCATGGACTAACAGTCTCTCTGAATAAGAATATATAGCCATCATTTTAAGAAAAGGTTCAAAACCAAAGCATTCTTATTTGAGAGGAAACGGCCACACGACGTTCTAAATACAAGGCAAGGCAAGGCAAGGCAAGTTTATTTGTATAGCACAATTCATACACAAGGCAACTCAAAGTGCTGAACAAGATAGCATTAAAATCATAAATAATCACAGAACATTAAAAAAAAAGATAAAAATATAAAATCCCTCAGTTGTAGCACAGCTAAACAGAACTGTTTTTAACCTGGTTTTAAACATTGTCAGAGAGGAGGCCTGTCTCACATCTTCAGGAAGATTGTTCCAGATTTTAGCAGCATGAATCTGAAAAGCAGCCTCCCCATGTTTAGTCCGGACTCTGGGCACTGACAGGAGTCCAGTCCCTGTGCTCCTCAGAGTCCGGGCTGGTTCATATGGGACTAACATGTCACTAATATATTTTGGTGCGAGGCCATGGAGAGACTTGTACACAAGCAGAGCTGTTTTAAAGTCTATTCTCTGAGCCACAACTACATTTCCCAGTTTCCCCAGCTGTGACCTCTACCCACAATGCATTTCGGCGCCGAGATCATGAAGCAAGATGGCGACTAAAACATGCAAAGAGAGCGCTCCTCCCTTTGATTGTCCGACATGGTAAGAAAATACAATCAATGGAGTTTCAAAGTTTGTGTCTGAAGCATTATCAAAGTAAACATGACCCCGTGCACGCGCGTGGGCCGAGAAAAAACGCGATTTGCCTGAAGTCTCGGCCACAGATGCAGGTTCGGCTGGCATCGCTGCAGCCTCCACGATCATCACGTTTACATCTGTTCCTGCAAGATCTCCACTATAATATGCACTAGTTGGTTCTTTATATGTCTGTCTGAAAGCAGAGGCCTCCACGAAGCATGTGTTTAGTGGAAGTGTGGGTTGATGGTGTTAAATAGTCCAGCTCTATCTGCGTTTGGATATAAGTAGATACAGTGTGGTGGATTATGGATGATACAAAACATGTCTGCTCCAATACAGTAGACTTTCCTATGGCTGTAAATGCGCTTTAAATGGTATAGTTAAGCTTTAGAATGATATAGTTTAGCTTAATAATGATATAGATTAGTCATAGACTCGTATAGTTTAGTTTTAGTATCTTATAGTTTCAGACTTGTATACATTAGTGTTAGAATGGTATAAATTAGTTTTAGACTAGTACATTTTAGTTATGGAATCGTATTGTTTAGTTTTAGAATCGTTTTAGTCACAAAGTCGTATTCCTCCAGCCACTATCTGCTACCTATTTGTTATTGGCTGTAGATTGGAAATAATTAGCATTTATGGGTAAACTGTGTATTCATATGGCTCTAAAAACATGTCTGGCTTTCCACAACACTACTTTGTAAAGAGCCAATGGAAGCCTTTCATATGTTTCTAAATGACACATACATGTTTTTGCGAATTAACTAATCATTTTGCAAGTTGTGCTCACACTAGAATTTGCACTCGGGCTGTAATGGTTTATCAAAACATTTGCTTCTAACAAAGTTTTTCCAACAATGGATAACTATTTTAGTAATCATGAACTGCTCTATGTAAAAAGCCTAATACGTGAAATTAAAAGATTAGATGTGATTTAATTGTATAAAAAAGTTTCATGGGTTATTACAATGTCCTATAGAAGGTCAAATCGTTTGTCTCACAAGATTATCTGATTATCAAAATAATCGTTAGCTACAGTTACAATTTACAGATTTTTTTTCACATTGACCAAAAGTACATGGATTACATTTGTCCAGAAAATATGTATTTGTCATTCTGAATAATCTTTTGATTTCAGGGCAGGCAAGCCACCAGCGGGACTTCATCTAGACGTGATGAAGGGAGACAAACTAGTCGAGGTAATTTGAACCGGGAACTAAGCTTACGTTAGATCTGTCTTTGGGTGTAATTAGTTGAAAAGATGGTTATATCCCTAAAGTGCTTATGACAGTGGATATATTCTATTTGTTCTTGTTCAGGTGGAATGACTCCTGTTTCAATATAAATGTATATGTTTTACTCTGAAATGCCACAGTTTGGGAAATTCTGTAAATATCAATATTCTGAAAATATGTTTAAATTTACAGGAAGTAGAGTTCTAGAAATGATGACATCACAAAAGTGAGATTCAAAGCTCTTTATAACGTTTTTGTTGATGATTCATTCCACTTAAAAGTACACGACAGGATTTTCCCAAATTTAAGGAAAGAACCGCCCTCTCCACTTTTTGAACAAAACTCTCTGGTCTTATTGGACGAGCGCGTGTCACCAGAATGATGCACTTTGAAGGCATTTTACACCGTGCCTTGGGACTTCAGTTGGAAACTATCTGTTAGCTAATACTGACACATTTACAGCAATGTTGATTAATGTGTATCGTCTCTATTCAAATAAACTAATAAATAAATAAATGAATGATGATCCACCCAGGAGTAGAAAATTCTCCTATATACCTTTTAATCAAATAGTTTTTTTAATTTAATTTGCTAGAATATATTTCTTCTGTACATTGGAGGAGTTTTCCCAGTTTAGTAGCTTTTTCATGTGTGTTTACGGCTCACTCCACACTAAACTGTACTGATGTGTTACATTTGGGTTAATGACTCAAAAAGTCCTGAAATGTCCGCCGCTGCTACTGCTGAATGTCAGACTCTCGATTGTTTCAGTTTTTGTCCAGTGAAGGGGACACTACTTAAACACAGATTCGTTCATACAGTACTATTAACAGCTACAGAAGTTTTGGACGTAACAAGTGGACACGATGTGTTGATGTCTGCAGTTATTGAATAGTATGTTTTTGTATAATCTGTAATTACAGATTGATTCAAGTTATATCCCCAACCATTAACCATGAAATAGTCTTCTCTGTCGTGTTCATGATTCCATTCACAAAGCCTCCAACACGACACAAGTAACTATTGCGTCCCCAAAGTTCAATACATTTGTGAAAGGCATCCATTTTTCTTTAAATGGTTTTGAGCCCATCTGAGATTATGTATTTATATTTCTATACATATATATATATATTTTACAAACTACATAGTATTTAAGAATTATGAGGTACACACATTTATGGTTCATACATTTATGTTATTGCCGCTTGATGTAAGATTGACACATTCTACAGTTTAGTTTGGAGTGAGACATACATTACATCAAGCTGATGATAATAAATGCTCCCCTGTTGACATGTGAGAAGCACCAGATACTAGCCTACCAGCCCAAAATCCTGCATACAAGGATTTTTAAATGGCTGCGTAGGTTCCGATGGTGCGAGAGCAGAAGCAGCCATGAGATTTAAGCTTTTCAGTGAAAGGACACACTGCGAGGTTATTACTCAGAGGCACAGAGGCTTTACCCACATTCTTTAAAGTATTTTGTTGTTTCTAAATTGTTCTGTCTTTGCAGAAACTAATTATAGATGAAAAGAAATACTACCTGTTTGGGAGGAACCCAGACTGGTGCGACTTCACTATCGATCACCAGTCCTGTTCCCGGGTCCACGCTGCGCTGGTCTACCACAAACACCTGAAGAGGGTCTTCCTTATAGACCTGAACAGCAGTAAGTTTACAACCCGGTCATATTTACCCATCTACACGACCGCTGTAGGCCTTCAGTGGTTTAGTTGATAACTTGGCTGATGGTGTCTGGGTTTTTCACATTCCTACAGTTGTGGAAGAAGTTTATTTTGATACACATAGATATTTGGTTAGAAATATTTTGCCACTCGCCTTTTTATTTAATCACCCCAGAATAGTTTGATGACTGCTCTGATGTTTACCTAGAGCTGGGTAACTTTCTTCTCATAATTACTCAGACCTTTTGTGAGTAATTATTTAAATAATTTTACAAGAAAATTAGAATTATTCTCAATTCTCATAATTGTGAATAACAAAGCAAAGTCTTTCGCTCTGTTGTCTTAAGCACAAATTACACACTGTCCTTATCCAAATATAAAATTCTTTGATTGAAGTTTGGGAAGGAATGGAGCCATGTTTTAAATTCTTTTTTTTGATACCGACAAAACAGTTACATTGAACAGACCAGATGCACTGCCTTTAGTGTTTTAGAAATACCCTGCTAATTTTCACCAAATGTTCATAGGAGACTTTAAGGACATAAACATAAACGCACACATCAAAAGATACAAATATACAATTAAATGAACAATTCATTCAGCATGTGAAAAACTTGGCTCTGATTTCAGCCACAGTTTCAGACATCTGGTGGAGATGTTTAATCCACTTGGCAGGTGTAAGTCAGTGGGAAGATCGCCGTGGTTCTCTTTAGTCTTTCTGATGTTTCGCATTTGCCCTGATTCTCTAATTCTCTTTGTGTGAAATGATTGATGCTGATGATTCGACCAATTTTACTTTCAGCACACGGTACATTTCTTGGACACATCCGCCTAGAGGCTCACAAGCCACAACAAGTTCCCATAGACTCAACAATATCTTTTGGGGCTTCAACAAGAACTTACACAATCAGAGAGAAGCCACAGACCCAGGGCGCCCCTGGCACCGGAGATGTGAAGGCGGGAGAAGACGAGGAACTGAAAGGGCTGTTGGGACTCCCAGAGGAGGAGACTGAGCTGGAGGTAACGTCACCTTTTAAAGCGTCAAGCCTCAGTGTGTGAGAATATCGAGTAATAGTATAGCGACCCTACTCCCATCTCACCACCATCTCTGGTCTGTGAAAGGTGCTATATAAATAAAGATGACTTACTTACTTAGTAGTTTATTATGAACAGGGAACTGGATCCAGGGTTTTCAAATAATTAAAAAGTATTAAATTTGACCGGGCTTCAAATTTAGATCTGCAAACTTCAAAACCATCATCATAAACAGACTCTAATGATATCAGCCTAAAATTATGTTTCCAGTTTACCAAATTGCCTTCAAGTTTTCATGCAGTAAAAATATTAAAACATACATGGTCAATTTTGGACTGGAAAGACATCAACACCTTTCGCTTCACTGTTGGGTTTGTTGAAGGCCACTCCGAGACGACACATGTGTTTAATGTGATTGTACAAAGAGCATTCACCCAATGGTGGTATTACAACTACATTAAAGGGGAATTTAATGTATTTAATTCATAACACCTGCGGTTACCCTGAACTACATCCATAAAGACGCATGTGTGGTGTTGGCTCTACAGATGCAGATACTAAACTAAAAGATGAGAATTTAAAAAGTCTGTGTTTTATGAATGTGTTATAGAAATATTTTAGTAAAGCAATCTGAATTAACACCAAATAGTTATGAGTGTTATTAACTAATAGTCCACTCTGGATTCAGATACAGGCCATAATGCTCTGCTCAGGTCAGTGATAGATGGAGACGTGCTGCATCATGTCTTTGACCTGGGTCATAGAACAATATGTTCAGTTCAAAAGCAGATTGTTACATATATCAGAGTTGTATCAGCGTTGGGACGCGTAAAGAGAAGCCTTGAGCGACACCGACCAATGTTGACTTCATTTATGTAATATCTAGAGTAGATATGTGTTTGTTTACTCTGGTCTATTTAATGTACAGTCATTTCCTCAATCGGGGCAGTTGGTTTCAGACGGCTGCCGGGTGGTATTGGTATCGGTTCTGTTATTCATTGTAATTGTGCACATTTACTAGCTCTGAGTTGTTTACATTATTTTACTCACGTTATGTGCAGAATTTCCACAACAAATGTATCTCCCACCACTGTCTGAAATAGATCCTGATATCATTTTGGTGGTAATATTCTAATTGTCAGGGATGAAGCAGACAGAGACTGATCGTGGTGCGCCAAACTCTGGAAGTTTATTTAAGTTTCTCTCAAGTTCCAGTGGTTTCCCTTGTTTCTTTCTCCCAGACAGAATGGAGTCAGTACACAGTTTATATAGTCATTGTCACGTCACACATGGAAAGACATACGTGTCACACAGAGACAGTCACATCATAGTCAAAATAATCAGAGTCCTTGTACAGTCCTGCATGTAGGCCATATTGCTATCTAATACTAACATAATAATTCCTATTTGTTCGCGCCATTTAGAATTTAACCGAGTTCAACACAGCCCACAACAAGCGCATATCTCTGCTCACCATTGAAGAAGGCAATCTGGAGATTCAAAGGCCTAAGAGGAAAAGAAAAAGCTCCAGGGTCACTTTTTGTGACGAGGATTCCATTATTAACCCAGGTAAAAATACTGTTTTTAGATTTCACAAAAGTATGGATTTTCGTTGTTATATTAATCTTTCAAAAATGTTTCTGCAGAAGATATTGATCCCTCCGTAGGACGCTTCAGAAACATGATACAAACAGCTGTCGTTCCAGTGAAGGTAAATCTGATGTTTATTTTAGTGTTTTTTCTTTTACAATGATTAAGTCAAGCTTCATAATGACTAAAAGTGGCCAACTGTTCTGGTTTAATCTTTGTATAGAACTATAAATGTACTTCTCATAACTTAAAAATGTCTGTGGCTAGAGACAGGAAATGAACAGCAGCAGCAGTAGTCTCACTATAAGCCGTTTTTCATTAATGAAGTATGTGACACTTGTTGTCAAGTGTCAACAAGTGTCAACAAAAAGGCTTTCCTTGTGGACATAAAGCCACCAAACCAGCAAACGCGTGTCTACTACTCACTTTCCACTTTGCATCTTTAGAAATGGATCTGAGAAACATTTGTCCTCGAGAGTGAACCAAATTTGTCCCAGTTTAAGTGAACCAGACCACATAGAACTCAAACCTCAAACTCAGAAAAAATAACATCAGCCAATTCTGAGATACTTTTTTGTTGGTATACCCCTGACTGAGAAATCCCCGCTTGTGTGTGCGCTTTCAGAAACGCCGATCAGAAAGTCAGAACACCCTGGGCCTGGACGACGTCACCTCCAAACGCATGCACGGCTACAGTTACTCCGGGGGCCTCTACGGGGACCTGCCGCCCACCAGCCACGAGAACCTCCCGGCAGGCGCTCAGGGAGGTGCGGCCATGCACGGAGGACTCCCCTTCCCCAACCCGGCGCCCGAAGTCAACCTGGCCCCGGAGCCGCCGCAGCCCCCGGTCACCCTGAACCCCATGCCCGTCACCGCACCCTACCTTCCAGAGGCGCACAACGAGCCACGCAAAAAGAAATACGCCAAAGAAGCTTGGCCGGGCAAGAAACCCACTCCGTCACTGCTTATATGATGAGACTGGACTGGGCTGCGGACTCTCAGGTTACCAGCAGGCACACCAGGGACTATGGCCTGGCAGAAGAGCTCGTTCAATGGTTTTGTTGGATGGTTTTAACACTCATTGTCAAATACTAGGAGAAAACCGCTGTTGCAAAGTAAGATCCTAACAGTTTTCATGTGGCTGGTATCATTTTTTTTACATGAGTTGTTCAGTTAGTGCAGTAAGCGCTTTAGCTGTGCTTATTTACACACTTACAGATACGGAGTGAATGAGTCGTGTGGTGTTTTTTTTCTACTGGAAATATGTTGACCTTTTCACTTCAAATATTTTGATAATGTGACTAAAATACTATACATATATTAAAGAAAATACATTGAGCATTGGCAAATATTAAAGTCTTTTCCAATTCGTAATGTGTCTATTTTAATGGTTTTCAAAGGGGTCCAATCTGGATGGAAATTATTTAATTATAAGAGCCTCTAGTGCCACTAGAGGGCAGCTTCTGCTCGTCATCGTTATGTATCTGACAATGTCCCTGATGGTCAGATGTAGCAAGTTATGCTCAAATTAGTGCACTTAAAACGTGTCATTTTTAACACAGCTGGTCCACATCATTCACTTGTGTTTCTTTTACAGTCTGAAGTTGGAATAGTCCGTCATATTCTGTTAATCTCTTTATTTTGCCATTTTCTCCATGCGCTGTTTTAGGATTCAAACAATAAACTCATGTATATGGACTTTTTTAAAGAAAATAAATACAAAAAACAATACTTTTGGCATTTCTATTTTCTCAATTTCACAATAGTAAGACAGGTATCCTTTCTCTTTACAAAGCCAGAAGGTTCATTTCAGTCTGTGAGATAGACTGTACAGTGTATGTAAACCTTTGGTTTCTACTGGGCCAACACATGTAGGGCCAGTGCTCAGTACCTTTTATGACTCAGTGGTAGCTTCTGCCACAGTGCTGCTGTTTGATCAATACTGTTTGATTTGTCTTAATAACGTGAGATGATAATGTGATCACAGCCCTCTGGTGCAGAGAACAAAGTCCGACATGTACATCATTTTACAGTGGATTAATTTTTACCTTTTAAGCGGAGCACAAAGTACAGAATCAGGGTTTAACAGTTTTAAACATGTCAATGATTCCAGGGGACGAATGTGAAGCAGAAATATTACTTTTGTCCATTATACAGTGCCTTGTGAAAGTATTAGTAATAAATTCTACACATTTTGTCATGTTCTAAACACAAACATAGATATTTTACTGAAAGACAAGAGATTAAAGTAAGTTATTATTGTGAAGGAACAATATTCATGTTTCTTGTTCTTCGATTAAAATAAAATTTGGGTTCTTACAGCACACCAAACTCAGATCTTCAGGTTAAAACTGGACTCACTGAGGACCTGCAGCCACAGCGGCCCTTCGAGGTCCTCTGACACGCCTGCTCTAATCATGTCTCAGAGGCCCTCACAGAACATCTGCAGATATACCGAGAGTAGAGAGAGCACACGAGTGGGCTCATGAAATAATTATGGCGTGAACATTCAGCAGACGTTAGGAATGTTTCAAAAGCAGTTTATTGCACACAGAAAAATGCTGTATGAAACTTGTGCACTCCCCTTTATGTTTATGGTGGTAAACGTGAAAGAGTTAAAGGTGTAATAGTAATTTCAGAATGTATAAATACATATATATATTTTAAGGATAATATATGTAGTGTTAGAATCCTGGTGATAATAAGCTCTTTTTTATAGTTTGCTGCACAACATCAGGTAGAAGCGGGAAACCTTTGTTCTTATTACTCAATACTCAAGAGCAAACAGAGAGCGTCTCAACAGACTGTAACCAGAGCAGCGGACACTCGAGCTGAGCCCTTGTGTTGTTGGCGACAAGTACAACACCAAGTTTATAAAAGTCGGTTCTTTTCATTCACATGTTCTTTTTCAAGAAAAAATCATGAATATTGATGATTTATTTTTAAAGTGACACAGAGCAACACAGGTTTAGTGTCTGGATCGGAAATATTATGATTATATCAAGCTCTTATGCACTTTAAAAAAGAAAATCAAAGACATGTAGGTCTGCTTGTATGGGGTGCCGTTTGTAAAAATTCTGTTAAAATTTTTTAGCTGAACATTTTTCTACATTTAGCTCACTTTCCTCACATTTAGCACATTTTCCTCACATTTAAGACATATCTATATCTAAATATTATATCTATATCTAAATGTTAAATGTTTTATCTGAATATTATATCTATATCTAAATGTTATATCTATATCTAAATGTTAAATCTAAATGTTAAATCTAAATGTTAAATCTAAATGTTAAATCTAAATGTTATATCTATATCTAAATGTTATATCTATATCTAAATATTATATCTATATCTAAATGTTAAATGTTATATCTAAATATTATATCTATATCTAAATGTTAAATCTATATCTAAATGTTAAATCTAAATGTTAAATCTAAATGTTAAATCTAAATGTTAAATCTAAATGTTAAATCTAAATGTGTCGCCAAGTGTAAAGCTAAATATATAGAAACCACGCCCACTGCAGTGGCTTCAAATCCAGTGGGCCCGCCTTCCGTGCCGTGTGGTGAGAACCCTACAGGATTACACAGGAATCTCACGGGACTCCACGTGGCTTAGTTTACAGTGAATACACTCTGGCTCCAGCAAATAAGCAAGAATCTTCACAAAAATGCTAATTTTGTGCCGTGGCCAAGGACGATGGCGCCGGAGACCCAACATGCCTTGAGCCGTGACGTCGGTCCACGTGTATTCCTATGTTCAAAACACGCGGCACCGCCCCCACTCACCACACGGCACGGAAGGCGGGCCCACTGGATTTGAAGCCACTGCAGTGGGCGTGGTTTCTATATATTTAGCTTTACACTTGGCGACACATTTAGATTTAACATTTAGATTTAACATTTGGATTTAACATTTAGATTTAACATTTAGATTTAACATTTAGATTTAACATTTAGATATAGATATAACATTTAGATATAGATATAATATTTAGATATAACATTTAACATTTAGATATAGATATAATATTTAGATATAGATATAACATTTAGATATAGATATAACATTTAGATATAGATTTAACATTTAGATTTAACATTTAGATTTAACATTTAGATTTAACATTTAGATTTAACATTTAGATTTAACATTTAGATTTAACATTTAGATATAGATATAACATTTAGATATAGATATAATATTTAGATATAACATTTAACATTTAGATATAGATATAATATTTAGATATAGATATGTCTTAAATGTGAGGAAAATGTGCTAAATGTGAGGAAAGTGAGCTAAATGTAGAAAAATGTTCAGCTAAAAAATTTTAACAGAATTTTTACAAACGGCACCCCATATGCTTGACACACTTTTTGGTTACACTGGTTAAATGAAGGACATTTACTTATTTACTTTATAATGTATGAAAACTTCTGGGAAGCATTTTATATGTTAACTCAATGTGAATGTCAACTATTTGTATGGACATAGCACATACACACACAAAAAAGTATTAACAAACCAGCTGACGAGGACAATGCACTAACACACGTACACACACAGACACACATACACGCACACAGACACACACACACAGACACACACACACACACAGACACACGCACACAGACAGACACATGCACACACAGACACACATACACGCACACAGACACACACGCACACAGACACACACAAGCACGCACACACACACACACACACAGACACACACACACACGCACACAGACACACACAGACACACGCACACAGACACACGCACATAGACACACACACACACACACACACACACGCACACAGACACACACACACACACACACACACATGCACACACACACACAGACACATGCACACACAGACACACATACACGCACACAGACACACACGCACACAGACACACACACACAGACAAACAGACACACACACAGACACACACACACACACACACGCACACAGACACACGCACATAGACACACACACACACACACACACACAGACACACACACACGCGCACACACACACAGACACATGCACACACAGACACACACGCACACACACACACAGACACACGCACACACAGACACACATACACGCACACATACACGCACACAGACACACACGCACACACACACACAGACACACACACACAGACACACACACACACCAAATCAATGCTTACAAATCATTCTTTGCTCCTGCTCCACTCAATGTTGGATCAAGACAAAGTGTAAAAACACTGACAGACAGTTTAGCTCACATCAAAAATGAGTCATTGTCTTTTCTCCCAGACTGTAGCCAACATTCAACATCTATGAGCTGAGAGGGAATGGGTCTATAACATTGGCAGTTTACACCCAATTCTCTTTTTACCTTTAGCCATGAAGATGTTTATATAGCAACATTAAAGAGAGACTGGCTTCACTTCCAGACGCTTCAGAATCCCCACTGCAGCTGAAGCTACTCTCCCCATGTTCCTAAATATATAAACTTTATACAGAACCACTGCATGTTCCTCTAATCAGATGGACAGCTGCCATAGTAACTTTTTTTTCCCACTTTTGCAGGTCTTTTTATTTGAATCTGCACCCGTTTCTCAAAAACTCACCAACACAGCATTGTGCATTATTCCCTGAACAAATAGAAAAGGATCTTTCCAATCAAATGTATTTGTTATCTTTATGTATTACATGCCTCAACATGTTCACTTCTGTCCAGATTAGAAATGTGTTGTTGGACTTTGGCCCCGGAGTGATTTTTTAGATGTCAAATTAGACTGTGCCAAAAAGCGAAACATCAACAACTCAACAAAAGTGAGTATTGGGACCTGAAATAAAATAATTTTAGCCCTTTTAATGGGGATGGCTTAATTCATACACAGTTTGGCTGTAGAAATAGTTTTTGTCAGACTGTATTCAAAAGAAATCAAATCACAAATCGAGATTGGTCAAGTTTCTTTATGTATGTTTTTGCTTTTCCTCAAATTTGACTCATACCAAGATATTCAATTTCATTTCAACTTTATTTATAGTGCTCTTTAAAAACAACACAGTGGACCAAAGTGCTGAACACAAAGTCTAAAAACAGAATAATTGCACAATTACACAAATTGCACAGAAAGTCAACCCACTGAGTCCGCCAGTCTAATGTGCAGAGGCAGACCATTCCACAGTCTGGGGGCCGCTGCTGGAACGAGACTTTATGTTTGCGAAGAAAACAAAGAGAACAGTAAAGGTCCAAGCACTGACCCTTGGGGAACCTCCGTAAGTTAGTGAAGCCATGGAGGATGGCATCACCAACCTGGATGGAAAACCTCCGGTCAGTGAAATAGGACCTGAACCAGGACAAGGCTACACCTCTGATACCAACATTCTCCAAGCGGGGCAGCAGGATGAGGTGATCCACAGTATCAATGCAGTCAAATCCAACAAAAGAAGTGTGCCCAGCGTCTGTAGCCAGAAAAATGTAATCTAAAAACCTTTCAAAAGGCCGTCTGTGTGCTGTGGCCTGTTTTAAAACCTGACTGAAAGTTGTGAGTTGCATAAAAACAATTTTCTCACGCATTTTTGACAGAAGAGGGGGCTCAGAAATAGGTTGATAGTTGCTTAGCCCTTGAATATCCAAGTTTGATTTCTTTAGTAAGGGCTGCACTATCGCATGTTTAAAGAGGGAACAACTCCACTGGCCAGGCTTCCATTAAGAAAGGACAGAACATGAGGTGCCAATAAAGGACCTGATCGATTACTTTTACTAGTAAGAGCAAAGTAACTGGCTCAAACTGGTCAAAACCAACAGAACAAGTTGTAGACGTGCCACAATCATAATTAGGATGGGAGATCAAGGCCCTAGTACTGGACACCTTGTCAATGAAATTTTTTTTGTAGAAATTCTCACACACATTTGGAACGTTTTTAGGACAGTGCTGTTGTGGGGTACAACACGCACAAGGACACATTTATTAGTGACTACACAGGAGAGGGGAATCTCAAACAACACAGGCAAATGGTCAGAAAAGAAGGCCTCTGACGTTCTGACATTAGATAGAGAGAGCGCTTGGCTTAGGACAAGATGTGTGGAGCCACTTACACATTGTACAAAATTAAAACATTCTATCAAACTGAAGAAGTCTTTTGCCAGTGGCTTTTCAGGGCAACACACATGTATGTTAAAGTTCCCAACAAGAAGGATGCGATCATACACAGGCACATAGTAACTGCGAAAAGTCACTAAGGACATTTTTGTGGTCTATACAGTATTACTGCAGACAGCATTGGTGGTGCAGAGCTAAGTTCAAACAGAAGCATCTCAAAGCTGGGAAATGACACAAAAGGAACGAGCTGTTTACACATAATGTTACTTTTAAAAACTGTTACTACTTTTAAATACTGTTGCTAGTCCTCCGCCACGTCTTGAAATCTTCAGGGGGGTTAAGAAACAGTCAGGTGCTCAAGTATCAGTCACACACATGAAATCCAATCCTTTTGATTCAAAGGCTTGGAGCTGAAGGACCCATGTGCTCGGGGGATTCTCGCGGTACAGCAGACTGAACGAGACATGGGCAACACAGACAACAGTTCCATAGAAGTCACTGTTAACTAAAACAGCTTTTAGTTTACAGCTTTCATAAAGGTCGGATTTTGTGTGGATTTTAGTGTCCCTTGTCATCCTGAACTTTTTTTCATCTTAAATCCGTTTTTATTTAAATTCACACTGCCGCTCTAACTCTGCACTGATCAGCAGCTCTGTGCACGTGCATGACAGCCACACACTCGTATTTGACACAGCTGCATCATGGGAGCTTGTCCACTGCGCAGAACCGGGAGGACCAGAGGATGGGCAAGTTCCGCTAATCTATTTGTCCCCATGGTGGCACATGCGCCACTGAGCACAAGCCATTGATTTGAATAGGACGCCATCTTGGATCGCCAGGGCTTAGGCCACACACAATTGTGCCATCTTGCCGTAAAACAGATGTATCTCCATGAAGAATACTACAAATTATGGTTTAATTTTTTTTATTTCTTTGGAAACACGCAGGTGACATATTACATCTGAGACAACACAGTGGTATTCAGTCAGAATCAATGGTGATAGTTCATGTTAACATCAGCAGGAATGTGAGGTCATTTTGAACAGGAGATACTCACATATTCATGTATTGGACTCCACTGGTTTGATTTTTATGTGGATTCCGTTGAGGGAGCGCATCACGAGTCGAGGGCAGAGTTTGGGCTCCCACTGCGGGTCCTGCATCAGTTCATATCTCTGCAGCGTGAGCGCCACCACCGCCTTCATCTCATTCATGGCAAAACTTTGACCAATGCAATTCCTGTGGACGCAACAAAACATATCTGCATTCTATTTTGTAATCCAATTTAATACAGTATATTCTCAAAACAAGGAATCCCAGAACTGCTAAAACTGAAATACAGAAATGTTTGTTGAAAGGCTAAACGTTCACTGCTGTCAGTAAACAATGTGTTGCTATGGAAACTAGCACTAGCTCTTCTATGATGGAAAACCAAGATGACTCGGTTCAGAACTAAACTTCAATAAATTACATATTAACAAAGAAAAAGACCAAAAATGTAGTCACACGAATGCAGTTTTTCTGTAATATGATTTCTAACGTACATCTGGACAGACTCTCTCCAAATATTTGGTATTTGTTTTTGGTAATATATGTACTTGTGTTAGAATGTATTGCGTGTGCAATTTGTAATCAGACACTAGTCTGAGTGTGTGCACAATAGAGTTACCTCGGGCCTGCAGAGAAGGGCACAAAGGCGTGAGGCGACCGAGAAGAGGAGTTTTCTGGGAGGAAACGTAGTGGATCAAAAACCTGTAAAACACAAATCAAAAGAGAAAAAACACTGTAATTATCAAAACTCCTCTTTGAAAAATTATCAGATTTGGGGCCCGGTCCATAGTAGATTTGTATCTTAAAAGGGGAAAAGTTAAGTTAGTAATGTCTTCTTGATAACACAGCATGCACTGGTAAGGAGCTGTGCATTGTCTAACTTTAACCCAAGAAACAAACTTTCTGTGGTGGGAAAGCATTTCATGAATTGAGAATCCATTTCAGGGATTTATTTTCAAACACTATTTTTTTATAGCAAAGCTTAAAAAATTTTGCAAGACGCTACACAATGCAAAGATTCTGGGAGCCTCTTCAGTCCTGCCACAGGCCTCAGTCCCCGTTCTACAGTCCGAGTCCTGGATCTACAGTCTGAGTCCTGGATCTACAGCCTCAGTCCTGGATCTACAGCCTCAGTCCTGGATCTACAGCCAGAGTCCCTGAGTCCTGGATCTACAGCGTCAGTCCTGGATCTACAGCCTCAGTCCTGGATCTACAGCGTCAGTCCTGGATCTACAGCCTGAGTCCTGGATCTACAGTCTGAGTCCTGGATCTACAGTCTGAGTCCTGGATCTACAGCCTGAGTCCTGGATCTACAGCCTCAGTCCTGGATCTACAGCGTCAGTCCTGGATCTACAGCCTGAGTCCTGGATCTACAGCCTCAGTCCTGGATCTACAGCGTCAGTCCTGGATCTACAGCCTGAGTCCTGGATCTACAGCCTCAGTCCTGGATCTACAGCGTCAGTCCTGGATCTACAGCCTGAGTCCTGGATCTACAGCCTGAGTCCTGGATCTACAGCCTGAGTCCTGGAACTACAGCCTGAGTCCTGGATCTACAGTCTGAGTCCTGGATCTACAGCGTCAGTCCTGGAACTACAGCCTGAGTCCTGGTCCTACAGCCTGAGTCCTGGATCTACAGCCTGTCCATCCATGAGAGCAAATCCCTCTCTCAAGAGCCTCCCCAAGGTGTCTCATCTTTTCCCCACTGGGCTTTTGAGTTGTTCCTTTGCCGATGGACATTTATTAACATTTATGGACTTTAGTCATCCTGCTCCCTATAGACCCATGGCTTCCCTGTGTTATGATTATTGTATTTCTTTTGTAGGGACTGTTTCATCGTCTGTTGATAAGGAATCGACAACTTTGTCCTCCGGCACGACTGCAGTAGTGATTTAGGGCTATACAAAAATACACAATTGAACTTACATCAGGATTTTCCCAGACCGATGGATTCCTGTGAATTCCATACACGCTTGTTCCTATAATGCATCCTAAAAATAAAAACGAAAAGATTTCATTTTTGTTAAAAGGTTTAGCAAATGTTTTCAGGGTTATGTCCACCTGTTGAATATGTATGTCTTAGTTCAAATTCAAATCAAAAGTATATATATCTAACTAACCTGCTGGTATGGTCCTTCCATCAAAAAAGGTCATGGGTTTGGTCGTGATGCGAGCCATTCCTGGCACCGGCGGATACAGACGAAGGGACTCTTTAATGCACATTGTTGTATATGGAATTTTACTCAAGGCCTCCCTTCAAAACACATCATTCTAATCAAACACACATCTCATAATCCGATAGTTTTTATAAGTCTGGGGTAAATAAACCGACCACTCCATAGTGCTCTTGCCTCCCAGAGCTTGCTGGATCTCCTCCCTGCACTGCTGCTGTTGCCGCGGGTGACAGGCCAGGCAGTAGAGGATGAAGGAGATGCCGCTTGCTGTGGTGTCATGGCCCTCAAACATGAACGTGTCCACTTCAGCGCGGATCGATTCATCCGACAGACCCCGATTGTCCTCATCCTTTCAGAAGTCGCAAACAACAAACTTTTATTTTGGGGTTTGTTGCGTTGGTTTGCATTGAATCACTACAAGCCAACAGACTTCATCCAAGCTAATGTTTATGTTTATGTTTAAGTATCAGAAATTGGGAAATATGACCAAAAAAATTGCATTCTTCAGAAATAAGCCGGTAATCATCTGCTCTACATCTGTTGTTTTAAGCATGACAAAAATCAAAACGGTCAAAGCCATTTACAAGGATAATAAGAAAAATATTGCATTCATGAATTGTGGCAATAAAATCTGAAATTTGAAATCTGTCCTTGCTTTATTTGGTGAATTCATCAGCAGTGGTGGCAAAAGAACTAGTTTTGTGTAATTAAGTAATAAGATATTTCAATCACAATATACTCTGGTAAAAGTATTAAAGTAATCCCAGAAAGAATTGTATATGTACTTATTTATAAGAATGAAATAATTAACAGAAAATAACTTAGACTGTTGTAAAGGTACTTACCGCTTACAATTCATGAATTTACTTTGAAGCATGGAAATCCAAAATTAATTCATTAACTTAGAAGCATGGCTAATCACAATGAATTGAATGTATTTAGATTAGGAACACTTTTCTTTTGGGTCGTCATCCGCAAATGAACTAACCTGTATTTATAATGTAAGGAGTAGAAAGTATGCCACTGATATTTGGGTTTAAAAGTGAGAAGTAAAAGTACTAATACTAGGATAAATAAATAAATAAAGTGTATTAGTGCAGTATTTAAGTAAAAATATCTCCATCAGTCTAAGCGACGAAGGACAACGTGAAAATCAAATGAGACTCTTTAACAGTTGGTATTTGGGACTTACTCTTGCACAAAGAAGGATGTCCAAGAAGTCTAAGTTCCTCTTGGCTTGTATGCGATCCAGCTCTTTTTCCTCTTTGAGCTCTTCTTTTCTCCTTTTTATAACTTCAGCTGCGAAAAGTAAAGTCACCAATAAGACCCAGCTGTGGTATTTGACAGTTCTGAATCTGATCACAAATGGTTTGGGAATAAAGAATTTGTTCTCATAAAAATCTAAAAGATGCACCACACAATGTTGATAGAGAATACAGACGGTATCCAGGAGTAAGAACACACAAATAACTCACTTTCTTGAGTTTCTACGCAGGCGACACATGCGTTTACCTGTGTGACCGTGGGCCACTTTGCAGGCCTTTCTGAATCTGTATCCATGTGGGCTGAGGTAGAAAATAAGGTCATTGTGATAAGGAAAGGTCCTGAAGCGCAGGTTGACCAAGTAACTCAGCTCATAAACAGATTGGATATATGCTTGTGTTCCTCTGTAAGAAGAATAAATACAAATACAAACTTTATAAACAGAGATTTTGCCGCAAATGAGAGACAGTGTGACGTACTGACCCCTCAGTCTGGCAGTTGCTGTTGTGGCTGAAGGCACATTTTAAAATACTGTCCAGAGTCATGAGGCTGACATGTTCGAATAACTCAAAAGTCTCTCCACTTTTGGCATAAGTTTCCCATTTGTCCTGGACACAAAGGGAATAACCGCTGTTAGTAATACTGCTTTACTGATAGTGTTAACCTGTTTTATTATTATTTAGATAATTCTGCAGGAGAGACATTTACCTGTACATATACAGTATATTCATGTCAAGCCGTTATTAGTTTAAACAGAGCATTTGTTTTTGTATTGAAACTGTTTTTGTTGATTTATTTCAGTGAGAATTGTTTCCTGCCCATTTTTTTTAGCATGTTTAATTCCTGTTCTTTTTTACCTTGTTTTATTTTTGTGCTTGTCTGGTGCACAATGGGGACTTTTGCACATGTATTCCAATGTGGTTTTACTGTAAATGGCAAATAAAATGAATCTGAATCTGGCCATATCCTGTGTAATTATTAGCCTGTTCATTTGTTTTGAATACATAGGGGTGCGTCTCAAATGACCTACCAACATAGTGTTTGCTGAGTCGGACATCAATTTTACATAAGGTTTCAACACATCATAATGGAAACCTGGAGTTAGCAGCCGTCTGTGGCGAAACCACTTCTGCCCATGTGTCACCAATAAACCCTCTCCTGCAGAAGAGTAGGTTATGTCAATACACACAGACACACACTCTCATACCACAGACACATGACAATAAGGTCTCACCAATCCACTTTTTAATAAAATGATACGCCAAATCATCTTTAGGCTCTGATGAGAAAAATATGTGTATAAGAGTATGTTGGTTTTATTCCCATCATAGTTCTCATTCACTCACCTGTTGATGCCAGGATAGTTTTCACATAATCAGGATGGTGGATGTTGAGGACGCACACAAATGGACCGAACCACACTGGGAATGCATAGGGGTAGTCTAGCCCCCAATCTAGCATAGTTTGTAGGCTCGTACCATCTTGTTTTAACTGAAAAATAGAAAGTGCATTGAAAAGTCGTGCGTCACTTTTTTGCATATACTTCATTCACAGATGGTGAATGAATGAATGAATATATAACATTAAAAACTTCTTAACCTCAAGTACGTGTCCAAAAAGCCAGTGTGATGGTGGTGGTCCAGCAAAAGGTTCCATTTTTGCAAAGGTCTTTCTCCTCTTGATGACCTGAATGGTTAACTTGAAAACCAACGCAACAAAACATAACAGCGCAAACAGGTGGTGGAAGCGATACCCGAACCGAACCTCCCCTGGACCCGGATCCTGCGCCATCCTCCACGTTTGTTCAGTCCACACTTCTGCAGAAAGTATTGTATTGTATTTGCAGACTGTGGTTACGAGTGGAGAGAGAGAGCGGGAGAGAGAGAGAGAGAGGCGTGAGCTAAAGATTGCGCAATGTGCAGATGGGGCTCTGGAATGACAATTAACTTGGCCAAGATACAAAGCGAAGGATCAACATAAGATACCAAAAACACCACAACTTTTCTCAAGTTGATTTCAAATAATGAGATTCAGATCATTTGTGAACCATCCATTTTTTTTGGTCAATTATAAGAATCTCAGTGATTATGGGCCTGCATTTGAGACAGATTGAACCATAAACACAAGCAAAGTACAGACATTTTTTCTTGTTGGTTTGCATTTAAGGCCTACTATTGCTTGACTGTCATGGAAGAAATGTCAAATAAAACACATTTTTTCTTGTGCTGTGTGATCCTCATTCCTACTGTTCTGTAACTTGTGATGCAACACTGAAATTTCCCCATTGTGAGACGAATAAGTGATCTCTTAATCATAATTTTAATAACAAAATAAAACGTCCTGGTGGAGAGAGTGCTGCATGACCATTTCTCCTTGCATGGCCATGGTTTGTTATATCTGTGGGAAGGTGCATCCACTCATATACTTTTATTAACGGTTTATGGGACATTGTAGGCAACAGGTCAAAGCTTTTCACCCTAACCCCAGCAGATCATAAACCATTAAAAACAAACGTGACCTACTTTTTGACACTACATGTTTTCACAGAATTGTAATGCAAACGCTGAACAGCAGATGGGCAGACTAATTATCTCTACAATTTGACCAAATAATGCGAAAATATAAACACATACCATAGTGCGTGTATATTATTGTCTACGTTTGAGGAGGATAGATATCTGTTATCTACTGACCTCTAGTGGAGCAGGAGGGAAACGTCAAGTTGGCAGCTGCAGAAGTGAAGAGAGATTTTCCATCAGTGTAGATAGAATTTCAATGTTTACCTGTGCAGTTTTTTTGTCTAATTTATTGTGTATGTATCTGTTGAAACAAATGTAAAAGAGTCGGCTAATCGCAAAAGTGACAGACAAGGAGTACACAATAAAGTACATGATTCTCAAACGGAGAAGGAGAAGTTTAAAACATTCTGTCTTTTGACATGTATGGAAGATTTTTTGTGTCATCAGATTTTGAATTGTTTAACCAGGATAAAGCATGTATGCATATTTTTGTTTTTGCATTTCAGCATTTGTGTCTATGTGCTACATGCAAAATAGCCCTGGCTGCTACACCCTGTATATTTTCATTCATGTAATACGGACAAAATCAAGCTCCTTTAATACTCAACATCTGATGACACAAAAAATATTCCATACCATGTAGATGTGCGCATTGGGAACATAGATTGTAAATATTAAAATTAGGAACTAGGAACTGGCTGCGATGCCTTCTAGCTACAGCAGGTGGCGCCAAAACACGTATCAATGTTGTCGCTCACAATAAATCCTAAACATACAAGACGAGGACAGTCATTCATAAACATTTGTCTTTTTGCTGCTGCTTTTCACACGTTTTATGCAATGTAGTTTGTATGTATCTATCCATGCTAAATCCAGTCGTGTAGCATACTAGCTCCACTTCCGAGTTGTCCGGGTTGCGAGTATTTTATTCGTAGGTAGGTTCTGCCACAGGGACCGATTTCAGCCAATCAGAAAGCTAGTCTGAAGTGACGTGTTCAGCGCGCCGGCAGACGACGGTGAATTACATTACAACCTAAAAATAAACCATTTATTAATTTACATGCGAATTGTATTTACTGTATTACATATACCATGTATATATAATTTACAATAATAATAACAAACAATGTTGAAAGTGTCCATTTTATGTTTTCAGCTGTTAATCACCGGCGCGCTGAACACGTCACTTCAGACTAGCTTTCTGATTGGCTGAAATCGGCTGAAATCGGTCCCTGTGGCAGAACCTACCTACGAATAAAATACTCGCGTCCGGGTTAGCTAGCTTTGTGTGCGCTTTGCTAAGCTAACAACAAAAGCGCGTGACGTTAGCTGCTCTGGCTAGCTTCATTCATTCATCTCCGTGTAAAGTTTCTACAGGCTATTTGCTTCTTTTGCAGTAAGTCCAAAAGATACTGTTTCATGCATGAGTCTATGCTTCTCTGGTTGTTATTTATTGTTGTTGTGTGCTAGCTAAAGTGACTCGTAAGACAACATTGTAGTTTCGCTTATTTGTTTATTATTTGTTCATTAATTATGTTTGTTTTCATGTAGAGACCGTGAAAATGGAGGCTCCACCGGTAACTGTGATGCCTGTGACCGGGGGCACGATCAACATGATGGAGTATCTATTACAAGGTGAGCTACCTCTACATTTGTATGTGAGAAGTAATTGTAATTGTAAAATGTGCCTATATTTTAAGCCCCGTTTCCACCAGCCCTAGTCTAGTCTACTCTACTCTAGGGGATATTGGCCTTTTATTCTTATCCTTTTTTTAGTACCTGCTTGGCGGTATTTTCATCCGGGCTGAGCTGTTACTAAAGTGTTCTTACTGACAGTGACTGGTCAGAGGGCTGCAGGAAGCCATGGCTATCAAGGAATTTCCGGTTTGTTGTGAGTTGGTTACTAAGATGCTGTACAATATACTGACGAACACAATCAGGTAGAGTGGAGTAGGCCTAAGTATATAGTTATACATTTATATAGTTAACAATGTTATTGTGCTGTACTTGGGTTTGGCATGGGCAGCAGATATTCTGATATGAAATCTTACAGTTTATAATATCCTTCAACAACTTTTCTCTCACTTTGTCTGTTGCTGTGTTGCGGAGATAGCAGCCAGTAGACACCCAGACTTCCCTTCTTCCTCAGACCAGGCCAGCTGAGAGCCTTTCGATTGATCCCAATTTTATTTTTTTAAATCTCTTATAATTCAAAATACATCCTGGGATCTGGAATTGCATATGGCACTACACTTGCTGTCTTTCTCTGGCTCAGTTCTTTCTCCTTCAGCCCCTCGTTCTGGTCACATGGTTAACGTCTCTCAGTTTTAATGCACTTGCCGATAACTGAGATTAAGCATTGTAAGATTGCGATCATTTGATTTGTCACAGCCCTGACGGATAATTAAATCAAATCAATTTACTATTGTACAGCTCAAATTCAAATCCCAGCCTCAAAGGGCAAGCAATTAAAACTTTCATTGCTCCTTTAATTCAGAGATTAATGGTCACAGGAATTAAGTAACTACCAGAGCATCCCCTGTCCTTAGGCAAAGACAAACTCTGGAAAAATCTATCCCTTCACTATAAGGGAAAGGTAACCTCATAGGCACTAACTAACTCTCAATTTAAACCTAGTGTTTTTCAGCACATCTTTGGGACATAAAAGTAGAAGTGCAGGTTATGTCCAACATTAGCTTTTCATTGTAATGAGCCTGATGATTACCACCAGCAGAGAACTACGCGCAAAGAACAGGGCTATAACGAGCATAATTACGTTGTTACATGCTGCTATGAATAGGCTGGAGTTCTATGTTTTACCTCCTGGCTCATCACTGTGGGGAAGACAGGAAACTGAGCGTCCAGGTGTCCAGTCCAATCCATTTTATTTACAGTATATACCACATTTTACAAGTTTCAAAAGTGCTGCACAGAGACAATAGTAACGCATTTAAATAGATAGGTCTGCCAGCTTTATATGTACTGGTATATAAACATAGAAGATGTATACAAAACATTAAGATGCATGAAATAAAACACAAACAATGTATCTGTATCCCTACTTAACTCTTACATTATGTTATTTGGTGAATGAATGAATGAATGCTCAGCAGCTAAACTCACAAAGTAAATCAAATGAAGTCCTGAAGCTTTCTGTCTTGTGTCCTCAGGTAGTGTGTTGGACCAGGCCTTGGAAAGCCTCCTGCATCGCCTCAGAGGTTTGTGTGACAACATGGAGCCTGAGACTTTCACAGATCATGAACTTGTTTATCTTCTGAAAGGCCAACAAGGCAACCCTTTCATTCTCCGTGCTCGTCGCAGTCTGTCCCACCCCACCGCCCCCTGGCACCTCCGTTACCTGGGGCAGCCTGAAGTGGGAGATAAGAGTCGCCACGCTCTGGTCCGCAACTGTGTGGACGTGGCGACTTCGCACACTCTTCCCGAGTTTCTTAACGAGATGGGCTTCCGCATGGATCATGAGTTTGTAGCCAATGGTCACATATTTCGAAAAGGTGCAATGAAAGTGGTTGTGACCAAGCTGTCTCGTATCCTGGTACCTGGGAACACTGAGAATATCGAGCGCCTCTCATTGTCATATTTGGTGGAACTGAGTGTTCTAGCTCCAGCTGGGCAAGACACTGTGTCTGAGGATATGCGCAGTTTTGCCGAACAACTCAAACCCCTGGTTCACCTCGAGAAAATCGATCCAAGCAAACAGAGACACTGAGTGAAAATTTGATTCTTTGTACATTTGTATTTGGTTCTATAAAATAAGGATAAATGTATTTTTTTTTTCACTTTTTCTCTATTGGTTCAATCTGTTGATGAGTTGATCACAATACAAAAGGTAGTTAATCCGAAAAGGTGGAAAAACAGCTCATGCATAATTACATTGTCAGTTGTTGGTGAAAATATATGCAAGTACTGATTTGAATATAGTGTTGTACATGTTTCTCGTGGATGTGTTTCTTTTGACCACTAGGTGTCCCTCTTGCTCTTCCGACAATTGTCTGAAGCCAAGGAAGCTACCTCAGATCATCCCCATGAGCTGTGGTTGCCATGGAAATAATTAGCTATGAGATCTGCACCCCCCCCTCCCCAACTCTAATTAGCTTTCCCAATTGCTTAATGATACATAGACCTGTGAAAGCCTTTCTTTCTTCCCCTCAACAAAAGCATTGATTTTCCCTCTCTTCCCCTCATTCCCACTGTTAACCCATTAGTGCCTCTTTCAAGCGAACTTGAGCTATTACATATGAAAGCACAACTGCCTTACATTTTTCACTCTCCAATCTCTTCTCCATACTGTGCTTTATACCATAGTGTAAACATTAAGGCCAGTCCAGCGCTGTGGTAACTAATGCACATCCTGTCAGTGGTGGTGATAACATGAGCAATATGACATGAGTGCTTCTAATAATACCGCTACAGAAGATGCATTTGCAGCGGCGGCGATGCAGAGCTGTGCTGAGCATGTTGGAGGGCACTGCCTGAGGCCTTTGTGCCTGTCTCTTCAGATTGACCCACCTGCACGTCAAGGTTCACCGGACAGGCCTGCTGAAGTAGAAAGGTGGTTTGACTTTGCTTGTATCATGCTCCTCTCTCAGTATGTTGTGGTGATGTGTGTAGTAAAGGGACTTGGTTCAGGTTTGTCTGTTTCAGTAATCCATTCTTTAATATTTAAATTGATGGTTGTTCTAAAAATGGTCAATAAGACTGGATTATCTGATGGAGACAGTTTTATGTTTCAACTACGAGAAGCAGACTGGCCCTCAGGACTAAAGCATGATGTTTCAGCTCTGAGTGAATTATGTATTAAAAAGACAGATGCCTCCTTGCCCAAGGCTTTACATGTCCAGCATGGATACTCTACAGTTTGCTGGCTTTCTTCCACTTAAACTTGTGTTTAGCACTGTGCTCTTTGGTGATGAGTTGGACTCCCACAGCACCTCTACTTCGCATTGCCTGGAGAACAGAGGCATCGCTAGGCTAATCAGTGTCTTGGCATCAGGCCCAGATGCCTATTGTGGTTGAAGCCAACCAATGACTTGCACAAGTGAAAGATATAACTCTGCCAGAGGCAATTTGAAAACTTGCATAGTTGATCTGGAAAATAGTCTACAGTACACAAAGGTTGAAAGCTTGTTGACAGAGGTAATGTTACTTGAATAAGATGCACAAACAAAACAGAACTGGATGTATTAAATAAGCCACTGTATTGAGGTTTATTCGAACTGATTTGAGGTTTAAATGTGTGTTATTCACTCTGCACTCTTCATCCTCTCCAAGTGTAGGGTGCACACCCCACAGCGCTGCATCCTCAATGTTCTACACCAAAATGTATGTCTGACTGAACATGCACTGCACGTGTCCAATAAAGATTTTATTTATAAGCATAGTGTGTTATACTTTTTGTTCAGGTGTGTTTTGTGTGCTGTTTATTGCTACTTGTTATTAACATGTGATGCACATACATACATTTCTTCACTGTAAAAAATATGTTAATGGTAATTAAATATCATGAACAATTGAGTGACAACATAGTAGTAGTAGTAGTAAGTAATCTTTATTTATATACCGCCTTTTCACTGCAGATCTGAGTCTCAAAGCGGTTTACAATTGTTAATGTAATAGTTATAACATAGTTATTTATATACTTACCTTCTTAGTACAAGAATACCAAGAGGTAAATCAAGCACAAGTTATTAAACCATTAAATTATTACTCGCCCAGATTTTGGTTGTGAGAAGAACACAAGTAACAAGTAACTTCCCTGACTGTCCAGATGCTCTGGGTATTCAGCTGCTAAATAGCCTATAATGAATCATCTAAAGCAGACAGTGTTAGCTAATCATATTTTGTTGGACCTCTGAAACAAGCACCAAAGCTATTACCTGCATGTATATACGTAGTAACCATCCAAAAGCAGAAAGTTAATTAAAAGTCTTGGCTGTGTTTGTATCTGGTGAATATGTATGCACTTCTCATTGCAGGCAGTGCCAATGCCACGATGCCAGAGCTGGCTCCCACTTACAGTTGGAAGTCTTTAAGTCATGCCTACTTTGGGTCGATGCCATAAAAAGGTGAAATGCAGAGTTGCCTACTCAGTTTGAAAAGGTTGGATGTGCGCCCTCTCCTCCCAGTGTCATTGGAGTCCATATGCTCGTTAGAGTGTGGGCTGTCTCACAGCGGAGGACAACCAGGGGAGGTGTTTTCTCAGACAGCTATTGATCTCCCAAGGGTGCTCTTGTGGTTTCTCTGGCTTCCTCCCATTCTAATTCCACTGGGCAGGGAGAACTGCAAGCAGAATTTGTGCAACATCAATAAGACAAAGAGGTGAGGGATGGTCTTGTACTTTGGGTGGAAAATTCTTGTTCAATAATGTGAATGAAACTCACAAGTGCTATTGACAAAGTTGTGACTTGTTGCTCAGTCTTATTTGTGGCGGGTAGGTGATTACAGATGTGCAGAACACGCTGTTCCAGGATCAGCCACACAAGAGCCTGCAGCCAGCCATGCTGCCTCTGGAATGTCTGGTATTGGGACAGTGAGGAGACAGCCTGCAAAGGACACACACCGAATTCGTTTAGTTATAGAGCACTGGTGGTCTGCTACCAAGTTTGCATTCTGATCAGAAATAGTCTTATGTTAATCTAAACATTCATTTAATTCATTTGATTAATTTCATTACATCTTGATCAAAAAAATGCTTCAAATACTTCTTCATTAGGTTCTTTTCCTCGCTTGGTGGGAGGAGATAGGTTTTTTCCCCCACATTGACAGACCCTTTAGAAACAGAAGCAATTCATTGGAATTCCCACTTCCATTTATATTGGGCAGAGTTATATTTCAGCATTATGCCTCTGATCATGCTGTAAATTATGTAGAACATCAGATGTTTAAAAGTTGGAGAACACACTCTGAGATACTCATTGTGTGAGATACTTACTCAGGACAAAATTTACTAAACACACTTTTCTCCATAATAATTCAGAAAACGGTTCATTACTTTTCATAAATCTATGGAATACTTGGTGTGGGCTTTAAAAGTCTGGTCGCTTCTCGGAAGTCTGGAAACCCTGTCAGAAGAGCTCAGTCTGCTGTGGCTGCTGTTTTAGGACTACACCTTGTACGTTATGTGTGATACACAGTGTAACAGTCACAGTTAGAGGCAATTATCCAGGACATGCATGTTTACTGACAACCACAAAAACCCACTCCAAGATGTTTGTAAAATTAAAATTCAATCCTCAACTTGTAAATAACGTGTAAAATATTTTATTCACAAAAAAAAAATCTTTTATTCATGAAACTTTGTCTTGATCCATTCTGGTGCTCATGCACTACAGCATAGTTCAGTTTTGTTTTAACGTAGTATGAACCTATGTGCACTTTTTGAGTCTGAGATATATATTTGTTATGTGCATTGTACATTCTAGAAAAAAAAACATTAATTTTTATATTATCTTGACAAAAAAAAAACCTTGTCAACTGAAAACGTTCCATAATAGCAAATGCAACTCCAAATATATTCATGTGTTTATTGTTCCATGGAGACAGTAGTTTGTGCTCTACATTGAACCAACTGTTGCCAGTGTCTTATAACACGACAGGATGATGCGCCACAGATTTCAACATTAATTTTGGCAACCAAAACAAGAGACTCATGTGAGGCTCATTCTGCTTCCTGATTGGTAAACACATTGGTAACAACAGTGAGTGTATCAGACCAGACTAGACCATGTTTGATTTGCACGCCTCGTGTCTGGGCCTACACAGATAAAAAGTGGAAATGTAATTTAAGTCAATGATCTTATGGATCCTTTAAGCATTAACTTCAAGGTAAGTTACAAGAACTGTGGAGAAACAACACTTTATTTTTCATGGTGTTTTTAAACATCAGCATTGATCCACAGGAAGTCTGAATATGGTTATAGAATAATTCAGCTTCAATCCACACCTCTCATGCCTTACTTTTTGTCGGCAGAATTATATGGCCAGCTAAAGTACGCAACAAAGGTTTAAAGTACAGAGTCAGGAACCTTAATAAGTTTACCATTTAAATTGAAAGATTGGTTGATAGCAGATATTGGCATAATACCTACAGCCCCAGGGCAGCTGTATAGGTATACCCTATAATAAATCCATGGTAGCTACTAGTTACCAAACAGGTTATAACTAGCCAGCTGTAGGTAGCTAGGTCAATATTACCAGTATGGAGTGAATGATAAAGTGTAAACTGAAATTTCTTGAGTGTGGAAAAAGTGCTATAGAAATTCTATGCATTATCATGTTTGTGTGGCAGGTCTGCAGGCATATATCAGACACATGTACTGTTATTATTCTAATATTATTTTTATTAAGGCTAAACTCTGTTTAAAATTTACTGATAAAGAATTAAAAACCTAATAGAGATGCATGACATTTTAACCGGCATGAAGTCACTCTGTGACGCACCATGACACATCCCCTGCCATTTAAACCATGCTATTTTCAACACATTTCACAACTTCTGTCTTGTCTGAGTACATACATTGCGGCCGTGTTATGAAACGCTTAAGTACAGTTTGAGTCAATGAACAGTTTGGCCAAAGAGGGAGGGTTCTGTTTCAACCACAGCTCTGCACTGCACGAAAGCTTTGTGCAATAATAAAGTAGGGCCATGGCTGCATCTAAATCTTATTGCAGTCAAAAGCAGTCACACATGTTTTAAAGTTGAGTTTTCCGGAAGAATACGCCTGTGGCAGAGGGGTCTGCAGCATTTTGTACATCATTTTGACTGACAATGGAGTAGATCGAAATGATTACCCGTAGCGGAAATGTGCGTAAAAGATTGGGCAGTTTTAAAGTCTATGCATAAATCATGGTTCCCTCACAGCTACAGCAGCCAAACCCTGTGGGGTTCAGAGTAAAGACATAGGTTGTTGTTTTAAACTGAGTAGTTTGACTTCGCTGAGGAATGAAGAAGGCGCACCTGTGACGCACGACGCCTATAGTTGTCAAATTATGGAGGAGGGTGAGGAGCGGAATCCCCCTGGTCACTGTGGCAGCTCCCTCTGACCACTGTCTGTTCCAGAAGCCAACTAAAGCTTTCTACTGGAGATGACCATGCGCGTGCATTCATCCCTCACGCGCTCAATCGTGTGCCTGGCATGGACCCAAAATGATTTTTAATTCTGACCTCTGAAAAGCTCCATCTCTCATCACTCCACTTGGATTAAAATCTCGGGTTACCTAATCTCTCGTAATCTGAACTAAATCTGTCTAATCGGCATAGAAAATTACACTCACTGGGAGTAATCATCAAGAGGTGAAATAACCTCCTGCGCGCTGTGAGGTCTCCCCGAGGGCAACTATTACGCGCAACGGTCACAGAGCCACACGACAGCATTTGGCACAGCTCTGAGCAGCTTTCACTTTGGAGTGGACTGCACTTAACTAGGGCGTCTGGCAACATAAGAGAGACGCATTTCTTTATTCCACAAATTTAGAAGAAGGCTGGTCCGGGCGCGTGAGAGAAATGGGGAGAGGCACAGAAGGGGGGAGAGCGGGAGGAAGCAGGAGCAGGAGGAGGAGGGGGGGAGTTTGGGATTTCGCTGTAATCGTGTTCAGAGAGTATTGATTTCGTGAGCCTCACTCCAATTGGCAGCATCTTCACTACAGCGCCGGCGCGTCATCCTCGCTTCACATCGACGGAACGAGTTGTAAGCAAATGAGAACATGTGTGGGATCTGAGAGTGGGGAGAGACGCGCGAGAGGCTAGGGGAGGTGTGATAAAAGCCTATTTTATCAACCTGACAAGTGGATACGGGGCTCTCGCTGTTGGACTGTATATGTGCGCGTCTTTTGGACACCGGGAAATGTATCTATTCGTCACATGCGCACGCCTCTTCATTATAATTGCAGACAGTTGGGTGCTGTTCAGGCTGAATGGACTTGAATGTGACGCTGCCAGCTTAATCCGTGCAGACTGGAAGATTTAATAATTCACGGTAATCACGCATTATCGCCTCAGTGGATGCTCTCCACACTGCCCAGCTTGTGATTCTCTTTCTCCTCTTTCTCCCCCTGCCTTCGCTGTAGCACCATTCTTCCCGGGGATTTTTTTTTCTTCTTCCTCCCGACGACTATATGCTCCTTATCTGAACGATCATCTGTTGCTGCAAGTGGATTTACCAGGCGCACATGCTGGCCGCGCGCTCTTTCTGACAGGTGACTTTCAATTGCGCGTAAAATGGACGAGAAATTATTATTACTTTTACTACTTCTGCTGTCTTTACACGCGAGGCTGTGATTTATTTCCCAGTGAATCTTTTTTTTTATTTTTTTATACTGTATTTAGACATTTGACCTGCATATTCTTTGAGTGACAGTGTGGAGAGTGGGAGTCTGTGGGAGCCTTTTGATTCCATCCATCCCGTTCACGTTGAAGGATACATGTTGATGATGGAGGACGACGATTTGGACGCTCATCAGGTTGATTCGGATTTTGAACCACAAAGCCGGCCTCGCTCGTGCACTTGGCCGCTGCCGTGCCCGGAGGATTTCCCGGCTGGACTCGAGGTCAGGGGGGGTCTTCCTCTGGCCAGCATCAAGGTAGAACCAGAGGACATACCGGCGTGCAGAGGGGGGATCACCCCGGTTGAGCTCAAGCACCCGGCGGCTACAGGCGCGACGCACCCCTGTCTGGCCGATGTGAGCGGACCGCTGCGCAAAGCCAAATCCTCGCGGCGCAACGCGTGGGGGAACCAGTCCTACGCGGATCTCATTACACGCGCCATTGAGAGCACCCCGGAAAAGAGACTCACGCTGTCACAGATCTATGACTGGATGGTCCGCTATGTGCCCTACTTCAAGGATAAGGGCGACAGCAACAGCTCTGCCGGCTGGAAGGTAAGAAGGTCCCCACGACTGTCATACACGTCCTGAGGAGTTCATCACACTTTACAGAGAGCGCACTATAAGTCATTGTACTCTTTCCTTTTTTTTAACTCTTCGTGCCATACACATGTCACTGTGGAATTCTGTGTCCGTTACGCATGAAAGCTGCCATGCACTATCTTGTCTTAGTTCATTACTGCCGTCAGTCATTCTAATAGATCAGTGATGGCAGCGTGGAAAATACAAGAGAGTAGTCACTTCAAGGCTGTGCAAAGCTCCCGAACACCAGCTTTAGCGGTGCATGAAATAAACAGCGTCTTAATAATGTTTTCCCATAAATCAGGTGCGGGATATGGCAGATAAATAAGAAAGTGTACTCGTGCATATTCATCCCAGCCTCTCCTCTCCCTCTCCAAAACTTATGAATCGTATGAATCAACAGTGAGACACTTGTTGGACGGTCAGGTCAGCCGCTGGCCACATAGTAAATATTCACTGCTGACCACAAGTCCACTGCTACTGCTGCAGTTGGTCTGGCCAGAAGCCTAGAGTAACCTCCTGGATGTCTGCCCATGTTATCAGCGTGTGTGCTTCAAGACTCTTCTTGTTTCTATTCATTATGGTTATCTGAGTGCAAGGCAGGGCCAGTGGAAGCAGCAGGGCGTCCCACATGGCCGCAAGCGTGAGAGAAGGCTGCATGTAAAGTTTGTGGCAAATGACAAGAGGTTTGGTATATTTGGATGTATATGTAATGTGGCAAATACACTGGGGGGGATAGATTGCCCATGATGGAGGCTAAGAATTATACTATCCCTTTAAATGTGAGTCAAAAGTCTTGAAGATCATATAGGCACAGTCTACTTGCCCTACATGTGCCATTGTTGACAAAAAAAACCATGAGATATTCTTATATTTGTTTAGTATTTTTGTAATTTGCTGAATTTAATAGCTTTAATTCATATGCTCTCCTGATACAGCTCTTGTATTGTGCTGAAATTGATGAAATTAAATAACTGTTTTCCTCCACATTCTACACATTATATACACCAGATCCTACTGCCAGGACAAGCCACTTTTCACTGATTACACTCAGTTCTTCCAGTGGCAGAATATAGGTCCATTGTATTATTAGTTCTCATATTAGCTCTGGTAATTAAACTCACCTGCACACATTGCGTACCTACGATAACAATAAACTCGCTGCCGTCCTAAGCCCCCTTCTCAAACACTTACACTCATTATCTGTGTCCACCCTCTGCACTGCACAGTCCTGGCTCTCAGCAGGGAGCAGCATCTTCAACCACAAGGCCACTCTATCGCTAGGTTCCAAAGTCCCCAAGCTGCTATTTATGAAACTGTAAATTAGGGGGTTTGACATTGGCAGTCTGAGGTCCGGGACTATTTAAGGCCACAGGCTAGACATGGGGCCCATTTCAGGTAATGACCGAGGATTAGGTAAGTCGTTTAAAGCAGGCAGCCATAATGTCAGGAGCATACGCTGACCTGCTTTTTGGTCTTAGCTGAGCTCGAATGTAAACATACACTTATATGGTTCCAGTTACTGAGTTCACATGGATGGCACAGGCGGTAAGCAGGTTTGCACAAGCTTCTGCAAGATAAGGTTCAAATTTAGCCGGAGGAACGGGCGCAGGTTTGTTTAAGGTGAGAGGAGATCCTGAAGTTCATGTTTTACCGTTGGATACTAGTATGATTCTATTTTTATATATTTAGATAAAACCCTTTAAAAAAATGCTGTACTTTTCAGGTTTGATGATTGAAGTAAAATATGCAGAAAAAAAAGTATTTTAATTCAAACAATATATAAGTCCTCCTTCTATAAGATTGCTTGGTTAGCAACTAAGCTAGTTTTCAACAACAAGGCAAGATGTAAAGATGCCATTATAATAATACAATGTCACTGGTGGAAGCTGCAACATTTCCATTAGTTTTAAAGTTACTCAAGTACATCTGTTCTTTTAATAATCACAAGCAAATGCAGAGCAATGATCAGCGATAGAAGATAGTTGACTATATCATTTTGACTAAAAACACAAGCCTTGGATTGACAACATCACAGAATTTCTCAAACTTGGGAGAAATTATCACAATACTCAATTCTCAATTCTCATTTTGCATCCCCAAAAACCTGTGCCGGCTCTTCTCTCTGTTTCTCTTATGTTCTTGGATCACTTTGATTTTGCCCTCTCCTCTGGATTCTTGAAGATAAGTCATTTCGTGTGAGTGAATGTCTTTTAAACGGCTTAATGAGTGGTTAACATGAAGCTGCACGTTTACATTGGCCCGAGTCCCACAGCAGGTGCACGCCCTATGTGTATTTTAACAGCAATCCCATCTGACATGCAGTGTAGGCAAAATATCACCACAATATCAATATTAGCATTAAGCATTAGCTAACGCCTGGCTGAAAATGACATGCTTTTTACGATAGGAGACGTGCACGAAATGGTTGAAGTTGTTTATTGAGCCAGCGTGGCGATTCGAGGAAGACGTTTTTCCAAAGTAGTGTGGGATAAATGATGTTGCTGTGGCTGTGGAGAGGAGAGAGGATGTGATGCTGGTTTGATGGTGGGTAATAGACGGCCAATACACCTAGACACAACCATTAAGCTTCTATAAATACCTAATGGGCCCCTATTTCTTGGAAAGCGGCAGCGTTGTGAGGTCATGGCTTCCTGATCATGTCCATACTGGAGAGGCCTTACATAAAGGTCCACTTGTAAACCTTGTTACTGGGTTCTTTCTGGTGCGATGGCCCTCCGTGTTGTAACCAAGGTTATATGAGTGGCCAGTGCATTGAATATTTGTTTTTGTGTGTGAAAATGCATCTGCAAAACCTCAGTTATCCAAGGTTTTTAAATACAGTTGTGGGGAAATTATATGAGGATAATGTCATGTACTAATTGTCAGCACTGTACAAAGAATAAGTTACTGTATGCAAGGAAAGTTTATAGCAGGGGTCTCCAACCTGTAGCTCGGGAGCCACCAGTAGCTCGCCAGCCCCTTACAGGTAGCTCGCCAAAGAAATTAGACTTTAACAAATACACTTAAACGAATACTTTTTGACCCATTACATATCTATTATAAGTATAAATATAGGGTTCTACAGTAATATGGTGTATTTTATATGTGTTCACCAAGTTTAGTCGTAATTATTAGATCCATTTTATTATGACTGCAAAAATGAGTAGCTCTCTGCCTGTTTGTTTGTATAAAAGTAGCTCTCTTATTAAAAAAGGTTGGAGACCCCTGGTTTATAGTGTCTTTCACAGACCGGGATCACAAAGCGCTTCACAATTAAAAACTTGCAGTGAAAATAGTGCACATACAAATCAGTTGAAAAAGCAAATATACAGAATAATCATAACACACTTGGGACAGGCCTATAACAATAAATACATATCAGTGATGACAGTTTTCACACTTTTATTCATTAGGGCTGCAGCTATTGTCGTCTTTATAATATTTTGACTGATCAAGAAATCTATTCACCTTTTTTTAGTACTTTACTTTAGTCGTTTATTTGGTCATACACAATCGGGCAAGAGCAGAGAACAAAACATGTCATAGTCACAGCTGTTCTTGCAGAAGTCGACATTAAAACACAAACTTCCTTGAACACAGCATTTTCTGTTTAACAAAAGACTCATCAATATTTCTGGAAAAGGGAAGTTATTTATGAATCATTGATACTGCATCTTCAAAGTGATTTTGGAATTGGTTCATGAAGTTATGATGTATGAATGTTTTTCCCATGAACTAATAACACCTGAAATGTCTCCACTAAAGATAAAATAAAGATGATTTTATATTAATTAAATTATTATCAATCAATCAAGGTGTATCTGTAGAGCACCTTTCCGACACATGGCAACACAAACGCCTCACAACCACAACCCACGTCACATTACGCATAATTTATAAACATTAAAAACTACATATGCATTAAAACTAGGTCTGAAACAACTAATCGATTAATCGACGACTAATCGATTATTGAAATAGTCGACAACTATTTTAATAATCGATTAATCGTTTTCTGGTTCACACGGACTCAAACAGAGCAAAAATGACATGAAAATGTAGTATTTTTGATTAAAACCGACTTTGTTTTTATAATTTCATGAATATCTGTCTGTCTCATCCAATCAGAGCAGAATTAGCACAAAGAGCCTGTTACAAACATTTACTTTAAGTTTACGCCATCAATACGTCCTCGAGTGTTGCCACTTTAGCTTTTTGTGATGAAAAAATACAATTTTTCTACACAATTCACAGCCAAGCGATTACTCGATTAATCGTAAAAATAATCGATAGATTAATCGATTACAAAATAATCGTTAGTTGCAGCTCTAATTAAAACATACAATTAAAACATGAAATATTAATACCACTGTTTCAAGTAATTAAAAACGTTAAAAAGAAGATGCAATCCTTCAGTTGTATGCACAGCAAAACACAACTGTTTTTAGCCTGGATTTGAAAACGGCCAGAGTAGACGCCTGCCTCACATTTTTAGGAAGATGGTTCCAGATTTTAGCGGCACAAACTTTCTGACCTTTCTGACCTTTCTCCCTTTGTTCAAGTCTGTTCCATCTAAGGTTGATCTGACTTTCTCTCAAATCAAAGTCTTCCTTCAAACAATGTTATACTTCCAATCCATATAGCACTTTTTCATAAACAAGCAGTTTCCAAATGCTGTACAACAAACAAAAAATGGCAAAAAATAATTAAATACACAGAAATAAAAAAATAAAATAAAACAAAATAAAATAAAAAAAAATAAAAAAAAATAAATAAAAAAAATAAAAAACAAATAAAAATAAAAATAAAATAAAAATAAAATAAAACATAAAATACAAAAATAAAATAAGAAATAAATTACAAAATAAAATAAGAAATAAATTACAAAATAAAATAAAATAAAAACACAGAGGACCACATGACTCACTTATACTTCTGTCTCATGCGTTACTACAGATTCATCAACATTT